TATGTATGTATGTATGTATGTATGTATGTATGTATGTATGTATGTATACATACAACCTGATAAGCATATAAATGTATCAGTTTATCTATATTAGCTGTTTTCAAAGCTTTTTGGAATATTTTCTTCTTATGTCTTACTTCCAGGAATCTCAGTCTGATTTGGAGGTGATCCTAGAATTTCTGGAGGAGTACTACAGGCAAAACTCTGTAGAAAATGGTAAGGGAACACAACGGAAAACTGATAATTTTAAGACTTCATCTGAGCGCTGTTGTCTAAAAAGACTTCTATTTTCTAGGGGACAAGGTGTCCCGGAGTACAGGAGTGCCTTTGGAGGAAAGACCAATGCCTGTGGATGAACCCTGCGAGCAGTGCTGGACATTCTATGGACCAGCTGTAGGCACAAACATGTTTGTCCTCATATATCTAAAGACATGCAAATACGACAAAGGTGAGCGCCTTGCAAACTGGAATTCTCTTATTCATATTATTGTAATGTCTTCCCCATCAAAGAATATCAAATCCACACGTCAGCCTTTACCGCCACATGATGCCCGACCAGCATTCTGCCAAAGCACAACACCAACATTGTCTGACATTGTATCATCAAGACAATCAGCCAAACACCCAGCCACAGGAGCGGGGAGTGGTGAGTTCTGCTTTTTGGTCATTGGATACTGTTAATGCCACAGTTACTTTTGGCCTTAGGGAAACAATACCAAGAGAGTAAATAAGAGACCTTCCCTTTATTTTAAAAACAATGGGGCCTTGAAAACCTTTGCTCAATCGCTGATTTTACATATCTATCTGATAACCGCAGTGTTTACAATTGTAACCCATCCACTAAAATAAATCCCACCTCTGAAGAGATTTTCTGGGAATTGCTGTAATTGAGGAAATGATTAACTGTAACCAACATTAACAGTTTTGGCACAGATTCAATGAGCATTCTCTTTAATATTGCATTTAATCCCCCCTTTCATAATACACACCTGTAACTGTTTGTTCAATGTCTGCAGGCAGAAAGGTGCGACTCTTTCACTTCCTGTTTGAGATGCTGGAGGATCCGAGCATGGCCCACTGTTTGTCCTGGGTGCCAACAGCTGCAGGCGTTTTCCGCTTTTCCTCAAGGAATAAGGACCAAGTGGCGGCTCTTTGGGGCCAGAGAAAAGGCAACAAGAGGCCCATGACCTACCAGAAGATGTCCAGGGCCCTTAGGAACTACGCTCGGTCTGGAGAGATATTCAAGGTTAAGAAGAAGCTCACCTACCAGTTCAGCAGAGACACCCTACAGTCATTGCAAAGGTTTCAACAAGGACATTTTTAATTTCTATGTATCTACTTGTGTTCAATCAATATTCTTTTTCTCTTTTTAACGTCTGGAAATGTCCGAACTTTGTGTTTTTTTCTTGTAAGTGACAAATTATATTATTGAAAGCTTGTGTTATAAACATACAAGACAAAAATAAACATGTTTTACTATTGCAGTGGGAAAGATCTGTTTTCAAAGCTGGTTGCAAAAGTAATTTTTATAAGCTCTCTCTGACATAGTGTGGACTTCACCACACAGTGTATGACGGGGGAAAGGGAGTCATTTCTAAAGGGGAGCCTTTTGCTCAAAATGCCAAGACTGAACTAGATCCAACACAATTAAAGATGTATATCACTGAATAATTTACAATTCCACATCCATAATTCTGATATTTAGCTAATCAGGCCATATTACCATGATAAAAAAAAAAAAAAAAGTACGAGAAATTTAAAAAGTTTTCTACTTGGTGTAGATATAGTGGAAAAACAAGCACATGAACTATTTGTGAGCATTTTTATGTGCCGCATTTACTGTTCTTTTTCTGTTCTTTTTCTGGTTTTACTGTTTTTTTGTTAACAGTAAAAGCTATAATAACTGAACCTTCCTTATTTCTTTTTCACTTCTTTTAGAAAATAATCTGTTTACCTGAGTTTGGTTTAATTTTTGTTGTTTTCTATTGAAATCACTTCAGTGTTAGCATTAAAATCAGTCATATTAATCCTATTTCATTTAGTTAGACTTAACATTTGCTTCCAACCTGAAAACTACAGCCTCACCCACACAGAAAATGTAAATTTACACAAGGTTGAATGCGTGCATGCTATGGTGGACATATCCACTGAATCTGATAGTTTGTAAGAGCTCCTGCTTTAGCCCCACCTGTAATGAACCAGCCAAGGTTTCCAAACATAGCATAGCATTACAAGGCCACTTAGTACGTTTGTGACTAAAATGGATTGTAACATTTGTTGCCTCTCTGTATTGTGGCTATTTTTTTCCACATCATTATGTATTAATAATCTATACAGTAGCAATAAGATTTTCCTTGGAAGTTAAAAAATACCAATTTAATCAAAAACGTTTTCTTCATTAGTGTTGCAAAAATATGGCAGGCATTATAACCATAGGGATATTACTTTAATTCATAATTACCATTGAGGCTCCAAACTAAGCTCTTTGGAGCTTCTAAATTGAATGTCAACATCAAACAGATATAAAATAGATACAGGCGATACATGATGAGGTATATGTTGTTAAAGACTGAACATTTTAGCTGAACATCAAACATTTGGATCATTACCATTTTCAGTGAGCAAATACATGAACTGTTGCAAACAGTAAAGTGATAAAAATGTGAATTATGATGAGATATCAATACACAACAGATGTTAGGTGTATAATGTCAAATGGTGATAAGACACACATATTTTATCACAAATATTCTATTTAATTCTTAAATTCTGGGAATTTCCATTTTTCAGTAATTTGTACTCCTCTAAGACAAAGGTCTAATGTGTCTTTGAATCTGTTAACAAGAGCATTATGAGCCAGAAGGTGTCAGTGTAGTCCTTCTTAGAGCCTCAGACCTCATTCGCGTTTTGCCTGTCTGGTGTGACCTCATGGTCAAACTGCCTCTGTGATGTGATGCTGTTCCAGGCAACACCAATGGTTTTGTGCTCTTTGTAGTGTACCCACATGATACTTCCCTAAGCCTAGTATTTACTGCTGGAGCCCACTCCCAGTTATAAATGGGCAAACTGAACTGTGTGTGTCTATTACCAAGAAAGGCCACAAACTGATCTATAAAAAAACATTGATTTAAGTCAGGGTGTTTTTCTTTTGTCCTGTTATTGTATCAAATACCTCCAAATCACGTTACTGTGCTTGTTGGGTTTTCTATTTTATTTAGAATCTATTTTAAAAAATCTCCCTCCTCTCGAACTGTTTGAGCCATCAGGGGGCATTTCTGACAGAGGGGCTTAAGCTGCAGTGCTACTCACAGACAATATCCAAGTCCCAAATATAGGGCCGTACCTTGTCTTAACTGTCCTGCTGGATTGTCTGTGGAATTAATGGTGCATTTTTTCAACCCACTTTCATAACAACATAAAAAAGCTCTAAAGAACATAGAGAAAGCTGTCTGAGTCTAAATCCATCCATCTATCTATCTATCTATCTATCTATCTATCTATCATCAACTGTATAATTCACAATAAACCCTTTTATTCAATTCAGTTGCATGTCTCAAATGTCAAGGTTTATGACTGCTTTCTAAGTATAGGCCATTTAGACACCCTCCAGGCATCTCCCAAGTATTTATTTGCCAGTTCGGAAAGCCCGCTGTTCTTGGACAGCATTCCCACCGGATTAAAGTGATATCTGGCATCTGCACCAGGTCCTTGCTTGTCATCTCTGGCCTTTCTTTTAAAATGAATCCACAGATTCTCTGAATATGCTATACATCAACTGAGTGCAACCAAGGGTTTTCAGAGAGTATTACATCAGCCTTAGACCTGTGACAATGACGACACCTTTTCCTTTTATACACCCACCCTCCTGATTTGCCACTCAGCTACCAAGGGAGCTGTATTAAAAAGATATTGGAAAAACTCAAAAGTGCTAATAATTTCACTGACAAAGTTTAACTACAATAGTCACACTCATTTAAACTGACCAAATCTGTCATTTCCAAACAGTGTTTTTTTATATAAAAAAAAGCTAAAAAGAATGCAAAAGTGTATTGCAAAGTGGATCGAATTATCCTTAAATAGAACTGCATATTTTTTTGTTATATGGTATATCTTCAGAGGATAATGAGCTCCAGATGAACAGACAGACGTCTGGATTTAACCACCATTGTTAACTGCAAATGTGTGTATAAAAAGCTGGGTTATAATGACAGTAGCTCTGTTTTTTTTGTTCTTCGGGCTCTTTTAAAACAAAGATAGAAAGCTCTGTTCTTTGTTTTGTTTGTTACACTGTTGTGAAGTGCAAAAGTGACATTTTGCCATCCAATCTTAGCTCCTTTAAAGGATTTTTTAAAATAAAAGGACTATTGCTGCAGGTTGAAATGATACCTCTTGTAAATTATCATGGCATGCGAGACCCACAAAAATATCATGTTTACTTGCCAGAGTTGAGGCAACATTAAGTGTCATACAGAGCTGCACCACAGAGAGGAGGAGCGTGTCACCTCACTATATAAGCCATAAAAGTCAGTCCCCCCTGGATCTGTCAGTGGTCCTCTTCTCCTCCCCCACTAAAATTCCAAACCTCTTCATCTCCCATCACTTTGGTGTAAAGGGTTCCCAGAGAGTTTTTCCTGCCACACTTTCTATCGTCTACCTGCTCTTTTTGGCTGAGGGAGCCTCCAGGCTTTACTATCACACTTGCATACGTGCACCTTTTGACTTTTTGAACATTTTCTTGGGACGTGGCTCAAGATGCCAGAGCCCACAAAGAAAGGTAGGATTCTTAATGCTTGTGTGTTCCCTGCATTGTGACACAAAAGTGTGCAAAATACATAAAAAATGGTTAGAAAAAGCACCTGATGCACTGCTTGTTGTCGGCGTTTTAAAGGTACAAAATGATTTTTTTTAGAATAATATGAAATGTTTGGAGAAATAGTGATTTTATTCTATTTATGTCTTGACTGAAAGAAGCAGAGTCGGTCGTTCCTGACTGCAGGGAGCTCCATCACTTCATAGCTCGCCTGCCAGCTTGTTTGTAGGAATCCTCAAAGTGACTTTGACAGCGGTATTGTATTACTGATGCCTGTGTGTCACAGCCATCCTTTGTGAAAGAGAAGACATGAGGTTTATCTATGTGTAGTATTGTTGTCTGGGATCGGCTCAGTGTTTTGATCCAACTGGAGAAAGATACAATGATGAAGAGCAGTGGAGGAATCTTGATGAGTGCCAGGCATATCAAAAGCAAACCCCCAGCTCATTAAGGATGATGCAACTTGGATGAATAGAAGCCACATGATGCTGAAATGTAGATGTCTTCCTGATGATTAATGTATCCAAGCAGGAATAGCCATTTTCAGCCCTTCAGACCTCCCTCCTCTCCACCCACAATTCAAGTCTAAATTCAGCCACTCACAACACCTGACCCCACCCCCTGTCCAGCCCTAATGCTGAACTTTTCTTCCACACCATAATACCTCTGGTACGTACCCTTATGTCCATCAACACCTCTCTTTAAGCCACTTTTGTCTGTCATTACTTTATGTTCTTACGACTGGGCAGCTCATTAGCTCAGCTCTTTGGGGGCCTGCCATTGACCAAGACATGTCCATGTAGAGCAAATGAAACACACTGTTTGGCCTTTGGATTAAAGCACGTATGCTTTTAATGCCTGCCAAAGGATGAAGGATGTGCCTGTAGCAGCCCTTTACACATTGGGCATGATTCAAATACATGTGTATGATAGCCAATGAGTCTGTATTTTGGAGGGAGTGATTACTCTTCACTCTTATGCTTTTTTCTTTGATAAATTTGATGTCTACAGATAGAAAAAATCTAACTCCCCTCCACCTTTCAGAAACATTGTAATATTAAGGTTTGTGTATTCCTTTTGACATAAGTATCTAAACATTTGCCAACACTGGATTTGATTTGCTTTCTCTTTGGCTCATTTGTGGTTAGGAGAATGCTGTGTGTGAGCTGACGTGACAGTCAGTACCAGTGTGAAGCACAGGTGTCCTTGTGGTTTTCATCCACTGCCATAAACATCTCTGATCCCCTCAGAGACAAAGCTACAACAAAATAGAGGCAACAGATTCCTGTCTGCTACAAACACTACCCATAAATAGCTACCAGAGCAGCAGATAAATGAGTGGAAAAGCATTGTTCTTTAAATGAGTCTGAACAGCTGAAGAAGAGAGGGGGGGAGGGGGGGGGGGGTGCTGTTGTTTTAGACACCCCCAAATCTAAAACCTCTCAAGCCTTACAAAGTCCAAACTAGAAATGACGGACTCACTGAGTCGTCTGCGGGTCTCTTGGGAATGAGATTCTTGTCCCTGGAATAGTTCAGAATGAGCACACTCTTAATCCCCATCCCTTCTTCTCTGCCATCTCCCTCCACCACTGCCCAACCTTCATCCTCCTCTCCTGTGCCACACACTGAAACCTCTCTGCTGCTTTCTGTGGAGGGTAGATAGGTCAGAGGTCAGGCGCTAACTCTGCCCCGGGGCCCACGGGTCCAGCAGGGCTGTCCTCTCCATTAACAGCTAGTGAGTGTCAGCAGCAGTGAAACCCATGTCTTCACCTCATGATATTTACTGTCCTTAGTGTCCATCACTGTCCCTGGACTCTATCCTCTGACAGTTTTGCTTTGTGATACGGGATGCCGGATCATGAATCAAGCCCATGGCAAAATACAACGGGAAGGCCTGTCAGCAGCTAATTTTCAACCATATACAGCAGCAATCCGCCTCCAGGATCCAAATATAATCAAAAAGGACTTAGTAGAAAGAAGAGAGGTCAAAGGAAAATGAAGCTGTGGAAAAAGGTTCCGTACTGTTTCTATTTACCAACAGGATAAAGGTCTATATAAGGACAAATGAAGCGGTTGGCAGTTTGGCTCTCATTTGAGCCTGTACAAGCCTTTCTGTCTGCATGCCAGCAGGAGCAGCAGCTGCGAATACCTGCAGCCGTGTCAGCTGCACTGGGAGTCCTCAGAGGTAAAACAAAACCTTTCTCCACTCTCATTATTCCAACGTCGATGAGGCAGAGGACTGGACCAGGCTCCATCTCGAGCGAATGATGTGACCCTGCAGGACTGTGGCCCCAAATCCAGTGATACATTGTTATGAGGTGATGTGGGAGTATGGCTAATTTCGTCAAGGAATGCCTGCAGGAAATCATTACAAATGGATGGATACTTGAGAGCCGTTGAGCACTTGAATGGAAATGTTTTGTCCGTGGATAATTGCAGGATTCATAGTTGCCATGCAAATGAGCTGCAATCATAAGGGTGCAGGTGAAAGACTGTCAAATATGGAAAGAAGATCTGCCCTAAAACTTGATGTGCAAAAGGGAGAGTTAATTAAGAGTTACTCTGGGGGTATTGGCCTCAGTGATTGAATTGATGGTGCAAAAAGAGCACTTAACTTTTAGAAGGCCCCTTCAAAAATACAGTTTCTTTCTTCACTGAGTCAGGATCGTTGTGGGATTATAACAATAAAATATTCTACTAAGAGGATCTCGAGTGTCTGACTTTTATACGCTTCCCCCCTTTCTTTAGCCTGTATCTCAATGTAATTAAAACAAACACACAAGGATCTGTCCAACCAGGAAAGAAGCCAGTCACACAAATACTTGTGCTAATTGTATACCTTACATTATGTTTTTGTGTTTCACAGAAGTTTATGTGTGCGGAGGGGCAGAACCTGAGTTTGAAATAAATCCCCTTCTTCATTATTACTTTATAACATTTCTTTTCCATTTCATTAAAGGGTAAAAACAGGATCAATCTAATATCTTTATTGCACGTCAAGAGCATTATGGTTGGGTTCTCCTGGGTCCATGCATTGAATTTTGTCAAAAGACTTTGGACGTCTAAACGTATTTCTGACAAAGGCCTTTCACTACGAAGTATCAGCCCAGACGAGGCAGAGGGCAAACAAATGGAGATTGGTGGAGGTCTCCTTGACAATCTATTAAGTCTACATAGTGTGTTAACATGAGGAGCCAGTCATCCAGTGCAAAGATAAGGTGGCTTAGCTGTGAGTGACTATCAATAAAGAGGGTCAACGTGTTCAAAGGGAGAAGAAAGTGCTGATTGAATTAAAGACACAGCACCAGAAATCTTACAGTTGTACTTGATAGAGTTTTGTTTTGTTTTTCTGTCTGCAGATGAAACGCCAAATGGCCAGCCAGAGGGTGAGTGCACATCTTATCTATCTACCCCAGATTAGCAAATTAAAGCTGCATAAGACACACTATTGTCTGAAATGTACCACATATTTAAAAGTTTCACAACACAGAGAGGAAAAACCTTGCACTCTCAGGGAATACCTTTGTTGAAATAGGATGATGCCCATCTGAACGTGTCTTCACATGCAACACAGCAATCACAGCCATGAATTTGGCGTGAATGTGTAAGCACAGACACAGAGGAGTTTAAATTTGGAGCCAATAGGCGGCAGTGTGGATGTCCCGCTGCTTTCCTGGGTGATCTGTGGCAAAGCTGTCAGCGTCTCTGACATTCCCCTCACCGACCAGCTGATCCCTTTCTGTTGATTCAGCTGGCACTCCAACTGCTCCATGAGAGCATGTTACTGGCTTTTGGCCGACTCTGGGGTTTGACCTTGGAGCTGTAGCATCTTGAGGCTCCAGCATGGTTGCGGGGGAGAGCTTTGCTTCTTGGACTACAGCTAAAAATAATCCTAAGAAAACTTCAGTTAATTCTGTTTCTTTCACCGGCTCTTGACTGAATCGTGGTCAGAATTGGGCACGTTCTCCACTAATTATCCACATAAAATGTATAACTTAGCTCGGATAATTCAAATCCAGAAACAACAGTCCTTTTGCTTCTCTAACGTATGCAGAGAAAAAGAAAATTCTCTGTCATATCAGCACCGATGACTGAAATCAGCACTTGATTAAGCTTAATTTATGCTCTTATATAAATTCTGAATGTACAAATAGCCAAAATAAGCATGGGAACCTTTCACTGGAAAATATATTTCTAACATAACTTTAACCAATTGCCCTCTCTGACACACTCAAAATGATAGAATACAGCAATTTTAAAGAGGTTTAATATGAATGTACGACTGTAATATTTACTGCTATCCTACAATATTTCTGTATGTCACGTACGTGTCTGGAACTGTTTGAATTCTCAAAAAAAAGTGAGAAAAAGTCCAATGGAAAAGTGTGTATGCCTACTTGCAGGTAGGTGCTGTATTTAGCCCCGTGTCATTGTGTCTGTCTGTTGGTTGTCGGAGTGAGTGAGAGGCCTTGCAGATGCTGAGCTTTGTGCTTAGTAAAAGCAGCTGTTCCATCCAACACTATATTTGTTACATGCTCAGAAAGTGTTGCCCCAGACAGTAACGGTGCCCCAACCCTACCTGAGATCTCCCTGGAGGTTTCTCCACCCCCAGGTGGGTAACGCTGATGCTCCCTTTCTGTTGTCCCAGACTGTAATGCACCTTTGCACATCCCACTCATGTCACCTGTTTGTTTGTTGCTGACAACACTTTTTGTTTCTAAATTCACTTTGAGAGGCCTGAAAGTGAATGTTTTCTGCACTGTATGTTCACACAAAAACTTAGTTAAGATTCAGTGAGAGTTGCCACTTCACTTACTGTGCACACGTTTGCATGCCTGCACTCTTCCGCAGCATGTGCCCGTTCCCTGGGGTTTGCTGCTATTGCTAACCTGTGCTGTGGCTGTTTTTTTTTTTTTTGTTTTACCAGTGACATTGTATGACAGATCGAGTCATCACACTGGAAGTATCCAAAAGGATTACGGAAGTAGGGGTTTACTGACTCGGATAGCATTGATCAAAATTCTGCTACAAAAAATATACAACCGAGTTAGTAAAGCCCTCACTCCTTGATCTACAGTATAAATATGCAAAGACCACATAGATGCTCTGTTGAGCTCAACACAAGAAACAGTATCAGTGCAATCATCACATATCAGAGCAGCTTTACGAAATTGTTATACAATGCCCATTGATGTGAATGAAATTGAAAATTTGTTGATGATGCCTGCAAAAGTCCTTCAGTTTACAGTCGTAAAGCAAAGGACCTAAGGAAAAAGGCCCCTTTTTGAGAGTGGTGCAATTACCAAACATTATCGTGCTAACTTGCTCAAATGAAATGAAAATCAAATTGAAAAGAGTATTTCAACATGCTAGTTTTGGTCCTTAGCCAAAACATTCTCGTGTTTCAGATTCAGACCAATGGCAAATATATGAAAGTCTTAGATTTATGTGCCAATCACAAATGTCACCATTTTGGATTGTGTCTATCTGGTCTTCAGCTATTTATACCTACCTTACTTGAGCAAGCATTGTCTTGTAAGGCTGCCAGTGTTTGTGCTAAACGCTTGCTGCTCCGGCCTGGCACTTTGTCTGCTATACAGAGGCAGTAGCAGAGGGGAAAGAGCCTGTAGAGACTGATGGGAAGAAACCAGAGTCCACAGAGCCTGAGCCATTACAGGCTGTGCTGGCTCAGGAGCCAAACCCCGCCGAGAATGGTTCAAACCAAGCAGAACCTGGTGGGGTTGGGCTGAAAGAGCAAGCAGAGCCTACTAACACTGCTGTAAAGGAAGAGGGCTCTTGCTCTCCCCCACCACCTGGTAAGTATGCTTCACTGGTATATGTCATTCCCATGTCTCTCTCAGTGAAAATGCATGTGTTTACCACTCAATCTCCCCATTTCAACTGATGCTAAAATAGGCCCTAAAAGTAGAGCTTGTCACATTAAATGCAATTTACAGCTGCTCAGCAGCACGGTAACAGGACACCCTTTTTACTATGCTTTATAGAACTCCATTTACTTACTGTTGAAAGCTATAACTTATATCTGCCTGCTAAGAATGCAATGGACTTCAATCAGTGACAGACTTGAACTGTGCAGCCCAACTTTGGCTTTTAATGGTGCGCAGAAGTCAATGAAATAGAAAATATATTTCTTTACACTTAGATTATGGGCTTGTTTTTAATGTCTTTTGAAAGGATGACTTAATATGTTTCATGTGAAACAACTGATTCTTTTTTGCTCAGAAATGGCTGCATTCTGTAATTCAACAATGTGTGTGTGGGTGTGTGTGTTTCTGAGGGTACCAGAGTTGCTTGTGCTTTTGCTGCTGAGAGCTTTGTGACACTGATAACAGAGCCTCAGTCTCTCACACAGTTACGCTCCTTCACATTTTCCACTCTCAGACATACTGCAGTCCGGCCTTTAAGTGTTCTTAACCATATTTCTCAGTTGCATGTCGTTTTTCAATCAAAACCTTGAGTCGCATGTGGCCAATGGCCTTGACAGGCTGCTGTCCTTTTGTCATCTTGGCCTGCCACAGATGTACCTTGGAATATTTTTGATAAGTGGGTGTATCTGTCAATTGCACCTTTATTGCAGATGATGATAATTCTGCAATCACTACCAAATCCCCAACACCCCAAACAGGTTGGTACTCACATGGACACTAACTTCCTAATTTCTCATCTTTTACCCCTCCCCACTCTTTGAGGATGCTAACCATAAAGCACTCAATGTAAATCACGCTTAAATCAACTCCCAACATCACCAACAAAAACCTCTAATCTTTTTCGTTCAGCAGTAGTATTGGGTTCTATTTATCACTTGCCAACTAAAAGAAATGGAGAAAAAATAAATGTGAGCTAAGTTGTTGGGCCACCAGGAAACGACTGAATGCTTAATTGACTGTACATATTTCAGAATGAAAAAAACAGTTGTGATATATTGGTCTCATTAACCAATGCTTCCCAAAGTCCAGAACTCAATATTAAGCATGATATAATCAAGAAAGGAACAGAAGGAAGACTGCATTCAAAGGAAAGCTTAAATAAAGCTTAAGTAAAAAATACTTTGAAAAAGTGGACATTAAATAGCTTGCCAAAATCATCTATGATTTATCAAGAGCAATTTTTTTTCACTAAATATTTTGAAAAAGAAAAAGCTTTGTAATTGTGATGTTTCTTTTAAACAAACTGATAAAAAAAACTAATTGCATATTCATAGCATTATTTATTTCAAGTTTAGAAGAGTTTAGAAATTTCCATAACATCATTCAATGTGTGTGTCATTCAACCAAAAAAAATATTTTGTTTTTGTTAAATGAGGATAGCATAAATGTATTGCATCATTGAAATATAACTTGTGTCTACCATTCTTTCTTTAATTTTCTTTTTCTTATATATCTACAGGCTTAACCTTTTTATTTTTTGTTTTAAACTTCTTACATTTGTGTGGCTTGCTCAGATTACTTTTCCAGGGCAGACTTTTACCGCCCACCAACATGAACTGGACTTCATTCTGAGTGGCTTCATAATATACATCTCCATTTTACTCAAAAACAACGAGAATTATGGGTTTTTTCATGTACATTAAAATGATTATCAACAGATGATAAAATAGGGCTAATTCTGCTGAAAAGACAACATTACCTTAACTTTCAGTAACCAATGACTTTATTCTAATTCATTTAATTTATAATTGTGCTTTTTTCCACAGAGGACGGCAATTCAGTCAAGAAACTCTCAATTGATCTGCCTAGTAAGATCCCTCCATTAAACCCTAGCAGCCTTTTAGATTTACTGACCAAACTGGCTTAGTCTAATTCAGAATGACCCACTGTATGAATGTAGGAAACATGACTGAGAATTGTTTTATCTGATATTTTGTGTGATTGAAAGTTAGCATTTCAAATAGTTGGACATTTCCTTCCTAACATATTAATAAATATCTATATTTACACCCCTTTTCGTTTGAATTAGGAGGTTTTCATGGTCGAGTTTTTGTGTTTTTTTAAATATAAACATCTAAAATTCTTCAAATAAAAATGTATTTTTCAACAAACACAGTGCACGAACTTTCTTCAAATTTTTTGGTTCAAAATTCCTCAAAAACTGCTTGTATGTCTGTAACCGTTTCTTGTTTAACATTTTGTGCGTGTGCTTTCTTCAGTGGACTTTACAGTATTATTTCTTATAATATGCTGTAAATTTCTCTTTTTGTTTAGATGATAGCGTCCCTGTGCCAGCCACGGGGAGAAAAGACTCAGGTAACAAAATAGTAGAGTCAGGAAAGGTCTATTTTGCTCAAATATCAAACCAGGGAAGAAAAGTTTAATTTGACATCTAACTGTCCCAGGTCCTGCTGTTATAATCACCATGTATGATAAAATGGTGCCATCGGAAAATGGATTCTTCATTTTCATTATACTTGACTGATTATGATTTTGAAGGAATATCTAATTCAAATGTAAAGACAGACCAAATGACCTAATTCCAGCATATCTGGATGGGATTCAGAGGGATTCATCAATCTTCAGCCTCCAAGAATTCTAAACAGGACTTGAGGACAGAAAAAATTATTAGCCTGCCTAATCTATTTTTACATGTCTATGTTACCATTGTCTATCTCATGCTTTCCATGTTGCCAAAAGCTGCTGCTGTATGAGGTGTGACTGTTGAGTGTAGAAGAGCTCGCAATTGTTTGAGTTTTTTCTGTCTTTGTAACTCTGCTCTGGGACAACAACAGCAAAAAATCTAAACAATTTTTAAAAATCAGACGTGAAGTAAAAGGTGGGTGTCAAAGTCCTTACTGTATTATTCTTTAAAAAGTGTCAAAGCCAAGATCTCTTTTTTTACATTTATTTCCTCTCACTGACCAGTGTGGTCTCTGGGAGAGGGTCAGGCTCCTGAGGACGTGGACAAGCCAATTGACAACCCACCATTGTCCACTTTGCTGATTGAAAGACCCCAGAGTGGAACTGTACCTGTAGGTGAGTGACAGGAAATTTGTTCAAGAGGGAAGGCAAATACACAAGTATGAAGCTCTCTCATTCCAAGAAGAGGCCATATCTGAACACGATGCACAGACACTGTCTTTTCACTATCGCACCTTTATTCAAATGGGCTGAGACAAAGTTAAAAACTGTCTTGGACAAAAAGAAAGATGTAAAACTTTAATTCCAATCCTCTTTCCCTGAAATCACAGGCCCTGAGTTCTCCGGATTAACCAGGCAAAGAACCACCTGGCGTATTATAAGTGTTAGAGGGGAACAGTCATGGTACAAACCTTGACAGGTGCTATCAAAGCTGAATTATATAATCAGGTTTAAGAACATCTGATTCCATCCAGATGTCGCCATATTAATAAAAAATCCAAGTCTCAACATCATGATGCAGGGATTTAATGGAACTATATCAGGAACTGTTGTTCATTGTGGAACTTCCTAAACTGAGGCAATAGAAAATGGACTGAACCTCATAGTAACCAAATCACTGCTTACTCTGAAATACAAAAAAATCCAGCCAGGCCCAAACGTCAACAGTAGGGAAAAGTTCATACCATGTTTGTCTTATTTCCCTGAGCAGCACAGCTTAGCACAGCTCAGCTCTGCTGTGAGTCACAACACAGACACATTCAAGGTCCCCTTCTCTTCCTTGCTGGCAGCACTTGATAACTTATTTAGCTCTGCAACAATCTGTGACGTAACTGCCCAATTCATGAACACAGGAGAATGAGCAGCACATGTTACCTTATTTCTGAAAGAGTCATTAGATTTTTCTTCATAATCACATTTTATTTTTCATGTCCAAAGGTGGTGACATCACTTTTGTTGCCAAGGTGGAAGCCAAGGATCTCCTCCGCAAGCCCACTATCAAGTGGTTTAAGGGGAAATGGATGGACCTGGCCAGCAAGACTGGAAAGCATCTTCAGCTTAAAGAAAGCTTTGAGAGACAGACCAAAGTAGGAACCCACCAAACGGCACCTCTTGTGACCATCCCTCGACTAAGTTCACAACTAATATGCTCTTTCGCTAATTCTTATTTTACACTCTCTTGATAGATCCACACTTTTGAGATGCACATTATCAAGGCCAAAGACAACTATGCTGGAAATTACAGGTGTGAAGTGTCCTACAAGGACAAGTTTGACAGCTGTTCCTTTGACCTGGAAGTTAAAGGTCTGTCACACAGTAAATCACCATGGTTTGGATGAATAAAATCACATAGCCCTATTAAAAACATGATAAATGTTAATCTTTTACAGAGGCTGAAACGGGCTCACATAGTCTTGATATTCGATCAGCTTTCAAAAGGAGGTAATAAGTAACAACAACCACGAGACATCACCTGCAGACATTTCAAATATCAGCATATAACTGTATTTTCTTTTTTAGGACATTCATTTTTTACATCAATTAAAATAAATCAATTTTCCCTAAATACCTCAAAACTCAAAGTACACTTCTCTGTGGTGCCGCAATGAACAATTTGTCCTTTAAGTACTATTTCTGAATGACCTTTATGTTTGACAAGATGGTTGTAAAATGTCATTTACCTTTCCTCAAGGTAATTACAAATCAACCACTCTGTAAATAAAGGCTAACACTTACACATTAAATCTCCATCCAAACAATGTAAAGCAATGCAAAGGATCTCAGCTCCATTGCCTGAAGGCACTGTTGCTGCTCAATAATGTTTCTTCACCATTGCAGAAACATTGCAGCAATAAACTATGGGACCGCTCTTGATGTGTGTTACACAAGCCACCTTGTTTCGAGCTTTTATCGAGAAAAAGACTAAAAAGGTTACTGTGTGCACAAATCGTGAGTTAGCGTGGAGCTAATGTATCGATTGCCATCAGAGCCTTGGCTTTGTGTTGCTTTTAATGCATTGTTTTCCAGTGCCTGTACCGGTTCAACTCTGATTAAATCTCCATTAATCTCTCCTTCTTAACAACAGCAATGAAGGACAAGAAGATGCAGGGGAGCTTGACTTTAGTGGTCTCCTTAAACATAGGTGAGAATCACATCCTAACCCGAAGTGGATATTGTTTTTTTATTTATTTAATTTTTTAAGCCCCTCTCATTTATGAGCATCTTTTTTTTTTTCATATCCTTTGAAAAATTGGGCTATGGTTTAAGTAAGCGGTACGCTTCTACATATATTCTACATATATAGTACGCAGTATAGTATAACAGAGGTTTTCAACGGCAGGTACTGAAGGTGAAACAACACAACATATTTTTACAAATTTTGCCGGCCCCTTATTTATCAAACATGTCAAAGAATTAAGTCACTTACCCATCTCTCCTGCTATGTTTGAGGTCCAAAGATCTGGAAGAAATTAGTTTGTTCGAGGCGTTGAAATGTTAAATCTGAATATTGACACAAAATCTTAAAGATTACACACTTAGGAAGCTTTTATCATACAGATTTTTCTCAGAACTTAATCAAAGGGCACTTGAATAATTTCAAACGCAAGGAGTGTCAAAGGAGGGTCTGGATTTCTCTCCTGATCCCGTTACTGTAGAAATCATAGCCATTAAAGCAAATGGGCCATTCCCTCTCCCATGAAATATGTGTCACAGTTTGAAAACCTCTGTTATATAACAACACGCCCCTTGATGCATATTTGAGATTCAGTGCAGGAATGAATTGTGAAAACAAACAGTCAGTGACGCTGTTCACTGGAGAAATTACACATTTATTTTGGACTTGTCTCTTCTTCTCCCCTACATCAGAAATCAAAGGTTAGTAGAGAGAAAACCATAGGTATTAAAACGATTAGACCTTACTACAGGTGAGTACTGTAACCCTGTAGAGTCCCCAGCATGACACGTAGATAGGAATGGGACCAACAAGAGTGTTGACCTCCTGTAGTAGGGTAACGCTTCATTTGAAGGCAGCATTTCTCACTGCTGACTGAGCTGTCAGTAATGACTGAAATGACACTTGGAGGTGTCTGTTTGCACCAAACTGGGAAGTGGCACAGCACCTCTGAGGAGGCAAGAGTAGCATTTTGGATCATTACTGATGCGTCAGTGGATCACAGAGAAATCACGCCTTGGAGAATAGTGTTATCACTACTTTGTCATTTATTTCAGTTTTTGAAATATAAGGCAAACGTCACCGTTTATTTCAGCCTTCTTCATATATGACTGAAAATAAACAGATGGGAGTTACCACCATAAAAAAGACTATTAACTCATGCTAAATATCTCCAACCTTTCAAGCATTTGGGGAAATGTCTTTGAAAGAAAAAGCTCTTAAACTATTTATACACTCATATCAAGGGCAAAATGTTTGTTAACTAGCATCTTTCAAATGTTACATTGTCTAACGTATAGACGCTTAATTTTTCTATCAATTAACAGTGTCGGAGTATTCTGAAGTGATGACTTAAACCAACAACTAACAAAGGGATGGGCCAATTTATGAGAGTGATATTTCAATGTTAAATCCTGTTTAAAGGCTTTTGCTGCAGGTTATCTCTAATTCCTTGCATGCTACATATCAGCATGTTCTTAAACAAAAAAAGATGAATGGTACAGTCTGTTGAATAAGCCACCATAAGTGTAAAGAAATTCTTTCTACTATTGTGTGCTCAAACGTTTTTTTTTAACTACACAAACCAACAACTATTTTTGACATCACTCTACGCACACTGACAACCGTGTCCTTTGATTGGCACCTAACAGGAAATCCTCTTTAAGCTTCACTAAGAAAACTAATTTCAGAATGACAGACAAAACCCAGACCAACGTCTAATGATGTATATAACCCTTTTAGAAACGATCCTTCAGATTTAACTTGCAAAAAGCAATTGTGTCTATTTAAGTCCTTCAATTTGACCCACAAAGCCTCTCATTATGTCATTATGTTGTAGCTAATAATAACGATTTTTCTGAGAATTTTAATGAAGGTCACAAATCCTGCAAAAACATTTAGGAGAGGTAAATTTGGCTTCCCTTGTCCCTGGAATTTGTGTTTCAGATTTTCATTTCCAACTATTTTACTTTTTATAGACCTCTGATAAGAAAAAAAATAGTCTCAAAAAGTATAATCTAAAAATACAAAAGTTAAATAAACACTTAACACAATGTGAAGCATTATCAAACAATTTAAAACATATCTTTTATACAATTATTTGATCAGTAGTGGATTTGATGAAAATTCTACTGTCTTCCTTTTGAATGCATTTTGGATTTGATGTCGACAAAGCTTTTGCAGAAGAATATTTTGCCCTTCTCAATCCCAGCTATTTCAAATAAGAGAAGATATGATACAATGGAAGACAAGCCCTCTCTCCCCACTATAGGATAGATGTTACTAGCATTGCAGATATATATTGGCTTGCGAGGCTTTATCTTGACTTTTGTTGTTCAAAAGAAAAAATCTTGCAACTTGTTTAGATTTTGTTTTTATGAAATGCTTCCTGGTGGATAGACTCATGCTAAAAACCTAATTTAAAAAAAAGCATCTGATTTTGTATTTATCTTGCTGCTCCTATCTTACCATTAACGTGCAACTTCAGCTCACAATGCCCATCTCTTTGTGTGACATGTCCTGAGGAACTAAAACTATAATAGCAAAATAGGAAAATTTGAAAGTGAGAAAATAATCAAAGTTGAATGAGAGATCTCCTGACCACACCAGGGTTGTAAAACCCCCAATTCAGTCCGAGTAAGGTTTGGGAAGAGTTGTTCCTCAGAACATGTTGCAAGAACCAGCATATGACTCATATTCTCACAACGTTACCTTGTATCCTGCAACACCAGGGAACACAAACAGCAGGACGAGGCTCCAGACGTGGACGTATGGGAAATCCTGAAGAAGGCCAGGCCAGATCAATACGAGAAGATTGCCTTTACATATGGCATCACAGATCTGAGGGGTCTGCTGAAGAGGATGAAAAAGATGCCTAAGGAGGAGAAGAAAAGTGAAGGTATATGAATCAGCATTTTCACACTGGCAAATCTCCTTTGGGGAAAACTTTAGTAATGTTCAATCACAAGTCAGGCTTAGTCTTTTTGTGGACATTTACTAACAACAGAATGTGACTTTAAGCTTTTGCCAAGAAGCTGGACCCAGCATATCAGGTGGACAAAGGTGGAAAGATCCGCTTGGTGGTTGATCTGGCTGACCCTACAGTTGAGCTGAAGTGGTACAAGAATGGACAAGAAATCAGGCCCTCCCCCAAGTATGTAATGCCATTATCCTCGTGTTTTAGATTAAAGTTCTTGCTCTTGATGGTTCTTTGGCTTTAATGAGGTTCACTTAGGATGATAATTCATTTCCATGGCCATATGCTATAATGAACCCAGATCCACATTTGGGTGTAAATGCATTGAATGGTGTCAGCTCTTGTTTTTGAATGCCATTAACAGATGTCCATGTCCTACTCTACGCAGGAAAAAGGTGGTACCTCCTTCACAGGTCTTTAACTAAGTCTGGCTTTTGAATAGATTTCAATTACGGTTCAACTGTATTGCTAACCATAGTTAAAAACACATAAAAGCACAGGAAAAAATGTACAAGTAAATAATTGTACGTTAGTCACATGCAAATCCAACCATTCCATCTTTACTCCAATAACACCAACACAAAGGAAAGTTCAAAGTGTCCATTTCCAGCTTATTGACAAGAAGTGTAAAATAGTGACAGTGAAATTGTGCATTAATTTAAGGAATGTGGACTGGCATGGAGCCTTGTTATATTCTAAAGCACTATCCAGTTTGAAATCCAACCAAGTAATATCCGTGCCTAAAGCTAACTAAGTAGCAAGTGACAAATCAAGTCAGAGCTGTTCCCTGTTTAAGGCATCATCCTTTACAAACACACACAGCCTTTGTAATTTACAGATTTTGATCATACTTTAAAAATGTTTTAAAATCTCGAATATAAACTTACACAATACATGAAAAAAGAAAAACTGATTGACAGGCGATTTCAGTGAGGGAAGGGAAACTGGAGAATGGATGAGTTGTGCAACATTTTCAGAATTTCAGCTTCAAATTTCAAGACAAAGGTTCTGAACTGAAAACAGTTGATTTAGAAATGAAGGACAATAGACGTTAGGACTTTAGACTTGGAGAGCTAACATACATGCAGTAACTATAGATGCTGTTCAAAGCCACTTGAAGTTAAAGCCATCTGGGAGGATATTGCTGTTTTCTGGTTTTGGTCTCCACTGCCATTGTTCTGAAGACTTCTGTAAAACTCTCCCTTTGGATCCTCCTCTTTGTTGTAACACTGTTTCCAACCCCACACTGTACCCCTCCATCTCTCTGCCTTTGTCTGTCTGTTTGTTTGTTGTATCGTGGTGCTCCTTCCTGTCTGCCATAATTATTTCCTGTGCTCCGGCCCCATTCTGGCTCTGCTGCTGACTTTAAGTCAAAGGAAGTAAGTTCATTAATCCATTGGATGTTGCCCCTCAGTCTGATCCTGCTGTGTGCAGTCTGACTTTGGAGTTTTTGATGAATATTCGAACCACGTTAAATGAATAACAAAGACATGTTGCACACATTTGGGTTAATGTTTTTCTATTTTCTTTTAAAGAAAGTATTTCTCTATGTGTATTTATTCTTTATGAATGATAATCATCCTTCTTTATTTTATATTGGATTAAATATTATGTTTCCACCATTTATTTTTGGCCCAGTGATGTAACTAATGGACTTCATTTTTAGGTACATTTTTGAGCATAAGGGCACACAAAGGATTATGGTCATCAACAACTGCAGCGGAAACGATGATGCAGCCTATTCGGTAGTTGCAGGGGAAGAAAAATGCACCACGGAGCTGTTTGTCAAAGGTATCTCAATTAACCCTTTACCTCATCTGGAAAATTACACAAGACTTCCCAAGGTGATGCATTCTCTGTTTTTTCTTTGCCTTTTGCCTTACAGAGTTACCGATTAAGATTGTCAAGGGTATTGAGCCGGTAAAGACCACAGTGAACGAGAGGATTGAGCTTGAGTGTGAGGTGTCAGAGGAAGGCGCTCAAGTCAAATGGTAAAACCAACATGATGCGTTGAAAGACAATTTGTGTGACTTTGACAGTAACATAATGACTGAAGGTTTCTTCTGGTCACAGAGGGACCAGGATGCTCTAACTGGTCAGCCCAAAGGGCCTGAACAAGCCAAATATACATCTTTTTTTTATCACAAGTGAGGGACACAAAATTCAAAGAAAGAGAGTCACTGGAAATCATCAACATTTGTTAAGAAAACCAACTTTTGTTGAAACTAGAATAAAAAAAATACAAAATTGTCATTGCAAGACCAGATGCTTTTACCAAGGTTCTAAATATGATTTAATGGAGAACATTTTGGTGAAGTGACTGATAAAGTTAGATCATTAAAAAAAAAAAATAGCATCAAGTGTTCAGAAATAAACCAGTATTGAAATGGCCTCACATATTTTCAAGACTGTTCAAGAAATTATCCTATCAGGAATTGGTTGCCATCTCTAAAAAAAACTATGCTAAACTACTTCAAAAGTCATCACTACCATTTTAAATATGTACTTTTGTCTTTGGGAGAAGTGACAACTGTGAATTCTCTTACAGGATGAAAAATGGTGTTGAGGTTCCAACAGGAGTGCGTTCGAGATACAGAGTTAAGTGTGAGGGGACCAAACACTACCTGGTGATTGATGATGCCTCCAAAGATGATACTGGAACATATTCCGTCATGGCCAGTGGTGGCACATCTGAGGCTCATGTTCAAGTTGACTGTATGTGGTGTCTCTCTGCTTTTGTCATGGTGCTTTCATGTGGTTTCAAAGACATTGACTCATTTCTGTTCTATACTTCTATACAGTGAAACCCCTAAAGGTTTTTCAGGACCTGCAGGATATGACAGTGATGCTGGGACAACCCATCAAGCTAAACTGTGAAATCTACCCAGGAAACGTCCCTGGCCGTTGGTACAGGAACGGGCAGCTGATCCAGCCCAGTGATCGGCTCAACATCATACATAAGAATAAGTACGACCCCCTATCTGGTACTGTTTCAGAATAAAGCTTTTTTTAAGGCAACTAAAATTAATTCCGTTTTCAGGGTTCATCGACTGGAAGTAGAAACCAGCTCTCTTCATGACGCAGGAGATTACACATTTGTACCTGAAGGCTACTCACAGAGCCTTTCTGCTAAAATCCACATCATAGGTACACACACTGCAGTATGCATCACTGAATAGGAACATTTAGTTTCTTTCTGCATCATTAGTTTTATTGAAGGATCTGACTTGATTTTCTGCAGACCCTCCAAGAGTGCACTTGGAAAGCCTGAACTTTCCAGACAACACAGTCACAGTGGTGGCAGGAAACAAACTTCGCTTAGAGGTCCCCATCAGTGGAGAGCCAGCACCCAGAGTGGTGTGGATGAAGGGGGAGAGGGTAAGCTTTCTTTTTAAATAGAATCTAACTTTGTTGGGGTGGGGCGAGTAGGTATTGATTACCGACTCTGTAATGTTCCTGTTTCCCAGCTTGAGAATTTGTTCTTAAATAAAAAACAGTGAATAACAAAAAAAAAATTGAATCTAACTTTGGAATAATCCAATTTTTCTTCCCATGAAAAGATGAAAACTAACAGTTATAAATGTCTTGATGGCTTCTGGAGCAATCTTAGTATCCAGTAATAAATCATGCTATAGTCACAGGCCCTCCATGTTACTGATTATTAATGTCTTTGTCATTTTTAGGTGATTCTTGACTCAGGCCACCGTGTCCGTGCTGAGACGCATGGCGACCAGACCAGTCTGACAATTGAGGTCACAGAGCGAGAGGACACAGGCAACTATAAGATAGTTTTGCAGAATGAGGCTGGTGAGGCCACAGCTGCAATCAAAATCAAAGTCGTTGGTAAGAAAAAAAAAGTAAAAAGAAACACTTCTCTCAGAGAATTGTGAGACGTTTTTCTTGAATGGCCAATATGAGCATGTGCTGCCCGCAGACATTCCTGACCCTCCTGAGGCACCCTTGGTCCCAGTCGTAGGTGGGGACTGGTGCTCTATGACATGGGAACCACCAAAATACGATGGAGCTTCACCAATATTAGGTAAGGATTAGATCATGTCTGCTATCGGAGCCTAAACGGGTGTGGTGGTCTTAAACAAATTTTCCGATGACTCTCTGAAGGCTACTTCGTTGAGAGAAAAAAGAAACAGAGCTCCAGATGGATGAGGCTGAACTTTGACCTGATTAAAGAAACATCATTTGAACCCAAGAAGATGATTGAAGGGGTCCCATATGAAGTGCGAATCTTTGCAGTCAATGCTATTGGTGTCTCTAAACCCAGTGAACCATCCAAAGCCTTCACTCCCTTGGGTGAGTTCAGTCTCTTCTAAGCAGGGTAAATACTACCATTAGAGCTACATTTGCCACCTATCTATTTGGGAGAGTCTCTCTTACATAAGGTATCCAGTTCATGTAACAGTTTCATAATAATGGGCAAATTTTCAAAGAGTGGTCGTGTGACAATGCATGTGCAACCCGCTTTTGGTAACCCACCCTGCAGCTGCCAACCCTTGATACCCACCATCCCAAGCATTCTGACTGTGACCTCAATGGGACAGGCAAGAGCTTTAAAGGTTATTAAATATGTCTTTATAATGGCTGCCAAATCATCTGTGGATTAGAGGTTTAGCAGATTGGGTCTGCAGGACGATTCAACAGGAGTCAAGTATGATTCAGAATACAAAAATAGACAACATGAGCTGGGGCAAATGAGATTTGACAGAGAGACTGATAGCTTCCATGAAGCAAGGCACATTGCTCCAATGTACATTAGCAACCAGAATTGTTGCATTTGTATCTTGTTCATATCCATTCTTGGAAGGCACAAGAGGAATTGCATTAAAAGCTATGAATTGCACTAAAAAAACTAAATATCTTCTCAGCTGTGACCAGTGAGCCCACTATGCTGGTTGTGGATGATGTCACTGACACCACTGTGACTGTCAAGTGGCGCCCGCCTGAAACCATTGGAGCTGCCGGGCTGGATGGATACTTGGTGGAATATTGCATCGAAGGAAGTGAGTCGAACTTCACATTGCAAAGAAATCTACAGAGAGTAACACCAAAAGCAATGTTGTACCTTCCTCTAAAGTGTCTTTTGCATTCGGAAAAATGATGAAGCAGAGTGGCTTACAGCAAAATATTCATTTTTATAGGAGCCATGGTTTGGGCATGTGGTCAGAATGTCCTCAATGGGCCTTTTTAAGAAGTTGTTTCTGAAAAATTGCCAGGAGAGCCTTTTAAAGGCCAAGTTGTATGAAGACGTTGGTGTGGCGATAGATGTGACACACTGGCATTTGTTTGTTTTAGTAAACAGCCTTTTTCCCCATTCAATAGGTAACGACTGGGTAATATCCAACAAGGAACTGACAGAGAAGACCAAATACACCATCAGTGGGCTGAGCCCCGGGTGTAAAATTTTAGTCAGAGTCAAGGCTGTCAATGCAGCTGGAGCCAGCACTCCGCGGACTCTGCAGCACTCCATTCTGGTCAAAGAAGTTGTTGGTGAGCTCTAGTAAAGATTTAACACATGTTCAACTCAAGCTTGGCCTAGAAATGTTCACTGAAGGGTCAATTAGACATAAACTTTACATTAAGGGAAACACATACTCACCCATTTGTGCAACTCCCCAGAACCCCCCAAAATCCGTGTTCCACGACACCTGAAACAAACATACACTCGCAAAGTTGGAGAAGTAGTCAACCTAGTGGTGCCTTTTATGGTAAGCCTGTTAGCTTCACCACTGTATAATATTGATCGCATGATGAGATCACTAATGCTGCTCGGCATGTGTATCCAGGGCAAACCAAGACCAAAGGTCACCTGGCTAAAGGATGGACAGCCAATAGAGCCTTCCCATGTAAGCATCCGCAACACAGACTGTGATAGCATCATCTTCATCCGTAAAGCAGAGCGCAGCCACTCTGGGATGTATGAGATGAAAGTGCAAGTGGAAAACCACACGGACACAGCTGTCATTGACATTCAAATTGTTGGTCAGTGAATTCAGCACTTGCAGTTCTTGGTATGAAACTGAGTCCTTAAATTTAATTTGAACTTTGATGTTTATTTGGAGTTTTCTTCTCATATTTAGATCTACCTGGACCGCCCAAAAGTGTGACTATTGAGGATGTCTGGGGAGAAAATGTGGCTCTGGTCTGGACTCCACCAAACGACAATGGGAATGCCCCAATAACAGGCTACACTATACAAAAAGCAGACAAAAAGACAATGGTACAATTTACATGTCTTCCAAACTAAAACTACAACTGAAAAAGACAAACATTTAAGCCTACCAATTCAACAGCACATAAAACACCTGTCTCTACTTTTTCAGGAGTGGTATACATGCATTGAGCACTACCATCGCAACTGTATCACCATCACAGAATTGGTGGTTGGGAATGAGTACTACTTCAGGATCTTCTCTGAGAACATGTGTGGTCTGAGTGAACTTGCCACCCAAACCAAAAACAGCGCTCTCATTTTGAAAGAAGGTACAACTCTGTGTATGATAGTTAAAGAAAGATTAACACTATAATAATGATAATACAAATAATAATAATAATACCATTGCTTTAAAAACTATTTTTAAAAGCATCTTAAAAAAAAGAACAAGTCTGGTTCAGTAAGTAAATATGCTTTTTTTAAATGACATTTTCAAAGGGCATTCTGCCTTAATTTTACAACTACTGTCATTTCATGCCAAAATTAATCACATACATTAACAATAATAAGAACAGTAATAATTGTTCAGTTCAAAGGTGTATTTACCATTTAACGATACATTTTTATGTTTTTCTGGCTAAAGTGAGACCTAAGGAAAAAAATGCAAAATATTTCCAAAGTCAAACCTTTGGGACAAATTGTCACATATATATATATATACAAACACACACACACACACACACACACACACATGAATGAAACTTTCTTTTTCACAGCTGCAACCTAAAAGGTACTGTCAGTAATCTTTTCCACCCTTAAGTGAGGCAACAGGTTCACTTTTAAATCTCACGGGGTCAAGATATGACTGACAGGCCCTTAGACCTGGGTGTTGCAGCCTCAGTAGATGTTCAATAAAGGAAATAAAACATTTTCTTTCCCTCATCACAAAGGGAATTTCCCACATGATACCGCTCAGCGACCGTATCATGCACAACCCCGTTCCTTTACCCTTACCCCCACAGGCCTGAAGATGAAAACAGCAGAGTACAATGACCACGACTTCAAGGAAGCGCCAAAATTCACGCAGCCGCTTATCAACACATTTGCCATTGCTGGGTACAATGCGACTCTGAACTGTAGTGTCCGTGCAAATCCAAAGGTAAGTCATCCAGCAACAGGTAACAGCAGTATTCTTGCATTTCAGCACTGATTCTCCAAGCATTCATGATATGTTTTATGACCAAACAGCATACTATTAATGAATATCTGTGCAGTGAGTACATGAGGCATACACTCTGATTTCATATGTAAATAAGGTAGTTTATAGCCTCTGGTTGACCCTTTGGACCGTTTATACCCTGAATTTGAGTGTTTAGTATTACACATTTTCAACAAATATAATGTTGCAGTGTTTCCAAATCTAGCCCTGTCAGAAATTATTAATTGAATCATTACAGCGAACAGAAATAAAGGCTCAAATAAAAGTTGCAAAGAACTGGAATTATTCGGACACAAGTGCAAACTGAGGGGATCAGTGTCGATTCTTTGAGCCCACCCATGTGCTTCATCGAGATGTGTTTGTCTCTCAACAGCCAAAAGTAATCTGGATGAAGAATAAAATAGCCATCATTGATGACCCACGCTATCGTATGTTTAGCAACCAAGGAGTATGTACTCTTGAGATTAGGAAGCCGAGTCCGTATGACGGTGGTATCTACAGCTGCAAGGCCATCAACGACTTGGGGGAGGCCCAAGTGGAATGCAAGCTTGAGGTCAAAGGTCAGTGTGGACCTGGAGGTGACCCGGTGTGCCTCCCCCCTTTATATATCTTTGCCCCCGATGTTTCCCCGATTTTACCTCTGTGCTTTTACATAATGCATTAAAAGGGTGTATCCCTGTCAGATATTTTCCTTTCTACAGTGAAAAGAAAAAGAGAAATTCTTCTTACAGTTGCAATTAGAATGTTACAAGCCGAGGTAACTTTTGGGAAACAAACATTGAAACAGCGTGGGGTTCGAGCTTTGCATTTCAGTAGACCAAAGCGACCTGACAGGAGGTGGAGATGTAAGTATTTTACACAAGATTGCACCAGTTATTCAAACATTATGACTAAATAGTCTAGAATTGTACAAAAAAAAATAGGTCTTGTGAATCTACTTTGAAAAAAACTAATTTTGTGGACAATACAAAGACAACACATCCAATCTAAGACAAGACATCTTTTTTTTTTTTTAAACAAAGTAATGTCATGATCTATGGTCCACATAAGCATACTACGCAGATATTTTTTTTAAAAACATACAAAACATAAATAACCACTGATACATGATAGAAATTATTTTTTATTAATTAAGCGAATTAGATTTTTCACTCTAATCAATATTTATTAAATTGCATCAAATTGAACTAAGATTAAAATATGTATTCCCTGAATCGTGTTGTACTCCATGGATCTGTATATTCACATGAATCTTCTATGAGGGTCAAATACATACCTCTAATGTTCCATTTTGTTTGCTAAAACCAAAAAGCGTTAATATTTTTCACATGTAAATCCAAACTCAGTCAGTAATTATGTCTGAAGTTATGAACATCTGGTGCAACCTTTGCTTTTTGTTTTTTTAAAGACACATGGAAATGACATGACAGCAATAATAACAGCAGGCTATTCATTCGTGTTATGTGCACATGATACCTAGTCATACAGCAACTTGCAGGTGTTTATCCCCTGTGTTGTCACACATCTCTATCCAATCAAGTCCATCCAGCCATCCTGTTCATCATCACGGCACACAACCTCAGCGCACAGACCTGCAATGATCCTGTGTTTTATTACTTAATACCTCCATCTTAAACTATTCTCCACAGATTCCAGTGTTGCCTATATGCTACACAGTTAACTCCTCATATAAAGAGATCAGTAATAACTCAACAATATTCCCTGGTGCAAACATATAACTCCATGTTACCTTTTTGTTAACCCCTCTTCTTTTCTCTCTCCCCCAGTCCAAACTCAAGAATTGTGATTGTATGTTCTCATATAAGGTAAGCTTTCATATGGTTTTGGCATATGAAGCTTATGTCATTCATTATGCATCTTTCAGCTGGTCTCTGTAACCTCGCTTTCTGTAATAAGTGGGTCTGTGGCAGCTTATCATCTCCATAAAAGCAGCATTCAAAGAAAGAACATGCGATGTTTGCATGGCAGCTTTTGTCAGGGGGATATGCTGATTTAAATAACTCAGAACTGAAGGTTATGAGTGACTGCTTATGTGAATACAAATAAAATCAAAGGTGATCTATCATTGTGAAAGAGACAAGGTAAGTCAATTGTTTTTCAACCTTTCTAACCTTTGCTGAGAAATACAGAAAATGGGCACAAAATGATATGAATACACTGTCTGCTAGAAAACAATGGGATACGTGAGGTTTTCTCCCTTCACTCACCAAGAGCCACATATAGATGTAATTCTTATGGACATGGATTACCAGGAAACCACATAACATTCACAGTCCATAGGTGATATGTCCATTAGACATATCTACAAAAGTCAGTGCAAGCCATTTTGGTGAAACAGGATTTTGACTAGTGCTTCATTTACCTCTTTTCTTCCCAACATTGATATCTTTGTGTGTTTAGTGCTTCACATCTCAGCATGTTTAAATTATAGACTGCATCAATGAGCATGGAAATCACTGCATCTGTTGAAAATCAGGAAATGTGCATTCTCATTGTTACCCAACTGGAAGACTTTAACTGAAATTAATTGCTGTGTCTTATTCCGGCCTTACAGGGCTACATCAGTTATTTCAAATCTTTTGCAAACTCTGCAAAAACACCATACTAAAAGAATTGGCCAATTATATGGAACTGGAGAAAGCAAATTTATAAAAACAAGTGTATTATGCTATTCTGACCATCGACTTTGCTTCTCTTTCCACGACATCATCTTGTCATTTGAGTCGATCTGGTTTCTCTACTATGTTTTTCTTAATTTGCTCTGCTCGAGATGTTCGTTGGGCCTTTTTTCTACTTGTTCTCCTTCTTCTTCCACACGTGCACAAGCCACTTCCAGCATCATCATAACTCTTTCTTTCCGTCACATAGGAGGCTTCACTTTCTGCGAGCTCATGAAACGCGGAGTGCCACTACACCTGATTGATAAGTACATGAACGAGGCGAAGATTGTTGAGCAGGAGAAGTAAGACTGAAAACAGTGCAATAAGACAGTTGGGCTTTGCAGACGTCAGACGCCCTCTTATCTTACCTTTCGAAGTCAGCTGACTGATACTAAAAAAGAAGGAATGGTGGCACCTGAGGAGGGGGTTTGAGGGAGGGTGCATTGGTCTTTGCTGTGGGATGCTGTGTGCAGATTTGGTAATGAAAAAATCCAGTTAATTCTCTGTCAGTTTGTTATATTTGAAAGAGTCAATTCAAATGCATGTCAGTAATGTTTTGGTTGTAGCTTTAATATGAATATTTTGTGTGCATTCCTGCAGTGTTAAATGTGTATTTTTGTTGGGAGTGAGTGATTAAGGTGATTTATTCTCTGGGGTGTGAAAGAAAGGAAATGGGAATGCGAAAACTATGCCTTACTGTTAGTATGGTGTCAGTGTATTTCTGTATGACAAGATAAAACTAAGACTTGGGTAATGTTGGAAAAAGATTGTGTTGATCCTCTTAATTTAAATACCATTTAACTTTTTTATGTGCAAGTGGCGTTTGTCTAATAGACAAGAAAATGTAGAGGTTTACGCACAGTCCAAATTCTGCATGACACATTATGCTTTTTGGATTTAAAGTGGACTAAGCTTGATTGAGGTTCAATCATATGTGCATGCCTTTACCCTTGTACTGATGATATGGATTCAAATAAACCCTAAATTTGAAAAGGTGTATTAATTTCTGTCATGAATTTGTTTTCTAGTTCAAAGGGAATCAATGGACCATATTTCAGTTTTAACACATTTCTTTTTAACTAAACATTCTGAGGAGTGTTTTCTTTGTGGTTCTTGTGTGTCTTCCTTCACTTTCCATATGTTTTATGTTGCCATTGTCAACAATGATGTTCCAGAAGGTAATACTGCCACCAGCACAATTTACAACTGGTACAGCGTTCTCAGGTTAATAACCTTTGCCTCTAATTTTTCAAACATAGCTCTTGTCGTGGTTACGAGTTGATTACAAATTTTTATTGAATATTCCAACAAAAGACCTCATTTAGTTTGCCTTTCACCACTTCTGAAAAATAATGGAAGTGGATAGACATCTTTAAGTTGTCTTGTTTAGGCCCACAAAAATCTAAGTAAACATATTCTTTTTCTTGATCAAAATACATTTTCTGTAACTATTTTGTTGCAACAAGAACATTCTCATATCATATAAACTATTTTGATCATCTGTACTAGTCAAACAAACAATTAGTCCTGTTTGCAGGACTTCATGAAAAAATAAAAAGTATATTTCTTCTTTGCATAATTTCTTGCAGCGGTAAAAAAAAAAAAAAACACCGTAGAAAAAGCGGGATTACTATGGTACCAGTTGGTGAAATAAATGATTCTATCAGCAAACTTAACATCGGGAGTTTCAGATCGAGTATTTGAAACTCCCGGTAAACAGGCCCGTTTTTCCTTCCGGACCGTCGCTTCCTGCCAGGATGCACCTCGACCAGAAACGTAGCCGCTATCGACAGCATTTGGTTCCGCTGTCGAAATGGCCTCGTCTGCTCGACCTGCCTTAAATGCCAAATGATTTCCTACCTTTTTGGGACTCGTCCTAGAAATATATCTATAGTCCATCCCGAGCTGCTGCCAAGGACCTGTGGGGAGTATTTTTTCACCGTACTTTGAGGAGTGACGAGGCAGAGAAAAAACAATGCCACATTTCTTGTGGCCAGAGCCGCTGTCCCCCGCACAACTCAAGCGGCTGGAGGAGCATAAATACAGCGCCTCCGGTCGCTCCCTGTTCGAGCCACCGTGTCAGATCTATTGGAACTGGCTGGTCCAGCAAATACCGACATGGATTGCGCCAAACACACTGACTATTGTGGGACTGTTGGTCAATATCCTGACCACGGTGGTGCTCGTGTTTTATTGCCCAACGGCAACAGAGGAGGTGAGTAAAGCGACCTTGGCTAAAGTTTCCACACGAGACCGGTGCTAATTATGTGCCCACCTCGGGTGTGAAAAACGATCCTAAAATAGGACATTCTCAAAATAAACCTAATACAGGAATTGAGTGATGAACTCAGTCAGTACGATTTCTTTGTTCTATCGGCATGTATGTGAAACACTTAGTCATTTCGTACTATTTACAAATTCCGACTTTTAACAACAGGGTCGTTACGCAAGCTAACGCCCCAGGCAGTGTGTTTTGGGGTAATTTAACACCAAAAAAAACGAAAAAGACCGATATTACTTGGTAATATAAACCGACTTAGAGATAGGGTGGCTAGCAGCCAGGAACGATGTGGCGTTGCAACATTTCATAGCCGAGTAGCTACACGAAACGAGGAACTGTTTGTCACATTTTTAATCTCAGTTTTCGTGACTTGGGCTCCGGTGTGTCCGGACTAAACATGGTCACGTGATCTTTTTATCTGTTCCTGGAAAGTTGACTGCTTTGACAAGTATTTTGCTGTCCACCCTCATTTGATGGAGCTTTGTTTATGGCAAAAGGTTACTTGGGAGAGAAAGAAAACAGTTTTTCATTTCATCATTACAGAGGAAGTTTATTATTTTAGCAACTCATGTTGTATTTCTGGCCCAGACTTTATGATGTCAAATACAGAAAACTGGCCTGCAACATGCAGCTAAGCTAAGAGGTGACCTGTGATCCAGTAAGACTGTATGTGCAGGGTACTGGGCTGTTATTACTACAGCTGTAAGAGCAGATATTTCCGTCTTATCAGGCGTAAACCTTTGTCCAGTCCAGCCATGGAAACCATGCAGATGAATCAAAGTCCAAAGTTTGCGCTTGCTGTCAGATTCCACAAGTGCAAAGCACGTCAGTCTTCTCAATCAATATCCAGAATAGAGAGGCACATACTTTGCTAAAGTCCACTTTTGTGCGCAAGGTCCCATGGCTTTGCAGGCATTCCCATACTACAAATATTCATATGCAATCCTGGATAGTATTCACAGATGGCCTTCGACCAACCCATTGTAATAAACATCTATACCGGATATGCTAAGTGGCACTTATTGTTTATCGTGGCGATAAACGAGACGATTTGAGTTTCCCTAACACACACTTATGCTCAGCAACACTGTTTTTGTGGTTATCAACGCAGTGTGTCCAGATGGTCCGTGACCTTCATCCTAGTAGAAGAGGAACTGAGCTTCCCCAGTCAGCCAGAATCCCTTCTTCTCCAGATTTAAATTAAACTGTGTAATCAGAACAGATCCAGTGTTTATGGTGCTTGGTGGCTGGACACACACATTAAGAGCATGTGTGGCAATCAAAGAGACAGATTTGGTGCCAGAACTTAAACGAACATGTTCTGTAATCAGTCCCAACTAAAGCTTAGGTTTCATTTAAACTAATGGTGAGTTTGTTAAAAAAAGACTTGTTTTCTGACTGAGGGTCCCTGACTCATACTCCAGTCTGTTAACACTTTTATATAAAACGGTAAAGATTCACATATTATAAGCTGTAAGAAGTGTTTTCATGATTGTTTTAACTTAGACAAACTGCTTAAGGACCCACATGAACGCAGTCCAGATTGTGGCCTTTTCACAGGTCCATTTATTGAGTTGGCTAAAATGTATCTTTAAAAAAAATAAATAAATATCTCATTCTTCCACCCCAGGCTCCATCATGGGCCTTCCTCCTGTCTGCCCTGGGACTCTTCATCTACCAGTCTCTGGATGCTATTGATGGGAAACAGGCCAGGAGGACAAACAGCAGCTCAGCACTGGGGGAACTCTTTGACCACGGCTGTGATGCCGTCTCCACAGGTGCTCCACTGGCTAACATTCTGCCCTGGTGTTATGTCCAGGATATATTCAGATCGGCTACGGTTCATTTTAGTTTGTTTAATTGACACCAATTTTTAACTAAAAACTTGCTGAATTGAATATTTTTTTAAACTTTCAGTCTTTGTTGCTGTGGGAACATGCATTTCATGTGGAATAGGAGGACTCTCAGACTGGATGTTTTTCTGTGGTTTCATCGGGATGTTTATGTTCTTCTGTGCTCACTGGCAGACCTATGTGTCTGGGACTCTCCGCTTTGGACTGTAAGTTCAACAATCATGTTATTATTGTACTTGTAATTTTTGCTAAAACTGAATTCAAATGGGCCTGGTCAATAGCTTCCGGCTTGTCCCATACAGAGACATGATCTTTGTTTACATTATAAAGGCATGTGGAAACATAAAAATACAACCAAACTGTAGATTTTTTGTTTAACACTCACTCAAGGCTTCACAACAGAAGTGGTCATTTGAATAAAAGACCATTTCTTCCAATTGTGCAGCAACATTCTTGTAGGAAGGCAGGAGATCCTTTATATGAAGTGTTTGCCCTCTCCCTGAGTTGTTGACAGACTTGTGCATCATGGCAACAAAATCAAGAAACTCTTTGTTCAAGAGTGCTGTCGTCAGCAGAAATCTATTTATTGGTAATTTTCCACTTAAGCAAAGGCTTAAATTATGTTCTCTGACGAGTTTGAAAACATGGCTTCATTCTTATTTATACATTTTGTACTCACAAACCTATTTTTTTAAATGTGAATTATAACCAGTTTTTCCCCCTTAATCTTTGCACAGGGTTGATGTCACAGAGGTGCAGGTGGCCATCGTAATCATGTACCTGATGTCTGCTTTTGGAGGCGTGAGCCTTTGGCAAACCACGGTACCAGAGGAACACATTTTGTCCTCTCACATACAACACTGTTCTCACAGGGACATTTTCATTTCACCTGAGTTAGAACTATGGACTGAATCAATTCCTAGTTCCTAGTCATTCTTCTAGTCGTTAAATAGAATTTGTGTTTCACTTTCACTCTGTGCTGCCTTTGGAGGCTTGACTTAACATCACATGAGAGAAGTGAGAAGGTAAATATTGGTAGTTTACGCCATGGCAACGGGTCATCTATTGGACATGATCTGGCTCAAAAAGCTGATGATGTCATCTGCATTTTTGTTTGTTTTTTTGCTTTGCCCTCCCATCAAGCTCAGCATGCTTCAGCTCTCATATGAGAAGTTTTCCTCTTTCTAAACAAAGGTGCAGTCTCCTCTTTAATTTGCCCCTCCTTTGTTTCCATAGTTACCTGTCTTGGGACTGAAGCTTTACATCTTCCCCATCATGGGTATCGTTGGAGGTGCCCTGTACTCCTGCTACAACTACTTCTACGTCATTTTGAATGGAGGTGTTGGCAAGAATGGCTCCACCGTGGCTGTAAGTGGCTCCAGCTTAAGTTTTTTTTTGTTTTTGTTTCAAGCACCAGTTTAAATCTGTGAAGAGGTTCTTATAATCTGTTCTGCTGTTTAGGACACAAGTGTGCTGAGTCCTGGTTTGCACATTGGACTCATTCTCATGCTGGCCTTCATCATTTTCAAGAAGTCGTCCAGCCACCTTTTTGAGCACCACCCTTGCCTGTACCTCCTCACTTTCGGCATGGTCATCGCCAAGATCTCCAACAAACTGGTGGTACGCTTAATTTATCTCGTTGTCTTCACGCAAACATGGAACCACCTTCATTTGTATTTGTCTGCAGGACTCGGCAAGGAAAGTATTTAACCTATTTACCTTATGTTTTGGATCTGTAGATGGCACACATGACCAAGAGCGAGCTTCACCTTCCAGACACAGCCTTTATCGGGCCCGGTCTCCTCTTCCTGAACCAGTACTTCAATAGCTTCATAGACGAATACATCGTCCTCTGGATCGCCATGGTCAGTATTGGAAAAAGCAGCTGTGCATGTGCACAGCTCTTTTGGGCTTTGTTTGGTTCGGTGTAGAATGCTTTATATCTGTGAAGAGAGTAGACATAAAAATAAAGCTTAATGCTGCAGCATACAGAAGTGTGCCCCCCCCCTGCTAACGCGCAGACTCCTCTTTTCATCAGGGGCTTTCTCTTCTGGATCTGACGCGCTACTGCACAGGCGTGTGCCTCCAGATCGCCTCCCACCTACAGATCAGGGTCTTCAGCATCACGCCGCCGGGCAACTCCCACCGCGACTGACGGCTTGCCCGGCGGGAGGAGGCGGGTGGAGACGCAGATCTCATCCCGCTCCTGAAAGCAGAAAATGAAGACAGACCCTCGACCCCGAGCCTTGACAGAGTAACCACTTCTGACTGAAACTGCCTCACCTACCAGACGAAAAGAAAAAAAAAAACAAATAGATCAAACCATCCTGACACTGCAAACCAAAAAAAAAAGAAAGAAAACGTGTGGATCTATAGAATGTAGGAGCTCTCCTTTAATTCCTGGCTGTTAACGCCAATTGAATTTTAGTGCATGATGTCAAAAAACAAGGTTTTTATGTTGAAGAGGCTCTGCCTGATTATTCAACCTGAATACCAACGTGCGTAGGTCATTTATGCTTTAGGCAAATATCAGAGCATTTTGATCTCCGATAAGAGTGCCACCAAAATGTGTCTGATTTATGCCCAGACTAAATGGTTTCCCTAATTAATGTTATCACAAATCACTTATTTATTGAAAGGAATAAATCTGAATCAGGGCTTTAAATTGTTGCTTTAAAAATGTTTTAAATGACCTTTTAAAACTTTCAACAATCATATTTTCAATGTGAGCTGGCAGGTTGTCAAAGAGCGCCGTGGGGGGGGTAAAGGTCATGTGTTGAAGCTGAAAAACAACAACGGGTTCTCTCTCAAGTTGTCCCAACAAATACCACTCCAGTTGCCAGATGGGTTTCTTTGTTTGGTTGTTGTTGTTTTTTGGGGGGGGCGGCGGGGAGTTTCCAACCCTTGGCAAAAAAAGAAAAGGGAAAACACACCCTCTGACTTCAGAGCCCCGTCGGCTGATGAAGCACTAACACTTGACTTGTTCTGCTTTCTCTGTTCTTCTCCCTGAAGGGCTAAAAGTTAATTATGTGTGATTGTAAAGATATGAACTGAAGACGCCTTAAATATTTTTGTTGTAATTACTGTTTAACTTGTGAATATTTAAAATGGCTTTTTATGTGTTGGTTGTTTTTTTTTGTTGGTTTTCTTTCTTTCACTTAAGCACCAGATACAGCAATAGTTACAATATGACATCGCTACTGGATTTTTTTTCCCTGCCTGATTAATCAAGTGTTCACTTAAGTGTCTTTCTTTAGTTTTTTTTTTTTTTTGGTCGAGTGATCTGGTTTTTTGTAACTGTATATTGATGGAATTTCAATGCAAAGTTGTAATCTGACTAACACAATTCAGGATTATTTGGATCAAAAGGGATTTTCTGTAGAGGGGAAAACTATGGGTTAAAAATGGAGTTCTAGAATTTATTTAGCATAACATCTTCCTCTTAAATTCATCCACATCTGCAGCATTGCAGACATTACAGATGTGCATGTTAAAAGATCATTTTGCATCATTTCTGGACAGACTTTGGAACTATGCATTGTCATGTACAACTTGGACTCCGGACACTTTGTTTCACTGTTCAGTAAAACAGTAAGACATCTTTCTAATAATAGATGGAAAATGAAAAGATTGTAATAAAGACAATATTTTTCATCCATTTTGTTGAATACTGTCGGTGATGAAACGGTGAAAGTGGGGAAAGGCGATGTCATTACAAAGGAAAGATTAGGCCGACTTTAGTTGGAAAACATTAGTATAACTTAGGTTTTGCGAAAAATTACATGGATGGATAAAACCCCAACCAACTTCTTCCAGGGTGGAGTGGAAAAGGAAACACACACAGCCTGTGAAGCTGCAGGCTGGATCTGGGTCACACAGCTTTACGGGGGATGTGACAGCTGATAGAAGAGACAGGATTAGTTCTAAACTCATCAGTCAAATGCAAAGTTAACAAGACAGCACAGATGAGTAAAGACCCTGAACAGGCTGTGTAATCGTCTCAGGAGGCTCCTTAAGACTGGGAAAGGGCAAAGGGTGGAGTTGGTTGCTTGATTTTGACACAGCAGTTATGTTTGCTTGCTGAAATCCAAAGGGGTAATAGTCCACAACTGCACATGTTTTTGGCTTCCTTTCAAATCCACAGGAGGTGAAGAGAATTACAGGCAGATCATCACAGCAATTACAAAAAAAGCATCTGACAAGTTATGAAACAAAAAAAGCAACAAAAAAAACTTTACCGGGAACATTAATATGTTTTATCATAAAACATGAAAGGAGCAAATGTTTCTATTTTAACATAAGTAACAATCAAAAGTAGCAGGGCTAAAATGGTTGGGAAAACTATGTTCCACCTCTTGAAAAGTTGACACTCAAAGTGAAAACATGGCCGCAAGGATAACTGAACCAAGAAACCTTTATTTCAGTCAGAGGATCCACTGATGCAATCTGAGCAATTCCCATTCCCAAATGAATTACTCAGCATCTTGCCCGCATCATTTACTGACATCCCATGACTCAGACCACAGTGGCAATCAGCTGACGGCTTCCTAGTTTCTGCCAACGAACTAACAGAGAATGTTGTAAAACTGACATTCGCATATTTCACACAGATGGCAAGCAATTAATGCGGCAACATCAACATTCTGGCATTCGAATGGGATCCACCAGTCGCTGGTCTCACTGTCACAACACTACAATCAAAATAAGTTAGAGAACATGCTGAGGGGGTCTGAATTTCAGACAGCAGCGAGCCTGTCGAATCCCACAGGGACACACATACAAGCGGCTGTGAAAGCTGCAGTGTCACATGGAGCTCGAACAGTCCAACACAAATGTACCGCACTGATAACAACAAAAAGAACATTTTGTATCCTGTTCATTTCAACTGTAAACCATGACTTCAAATGCGATGTGGCCAATATTCAAAACATCTCAAGATGCAACAGATTAACAAAAACTAGCATGAATGAAGGACAAAGGCACTTTAGGTTTTTTCAAAATGGCAGAAAAGGGTACAAAAGCCCATCTTGAATTACTTCTATTCTTCATCCACATGTATCATTCCCTACTATGTCAGTAAAATGTTTATTTCGGTGATATTTGAAATAGTGATATTTGTTCAGCTCTATACACTCCAAAAAAAAGGGACAGGTCATCACAATTTCCCAGCAGCAAAGGTGACATCTTTAAATATCTGTTCAACGAAATGTATTTAGGTTCATAATATAAAACAGAAGCAGAACATTTTGGAAGTTAGCACCACTGAAAATTATCGGTGCACTTTATGGAATGATAAAAACCAGCTGCGATGAAGCATCTGCTTTAACAGTGCGTCTATCTGCCTGGTGCCAGAACTGGGGAGTGTTGTTTTAAGAAGAGGCCTCCGATGCCCCAAATGGAGGAAAATAAAATATACTGGCTTCTTCTGTCTGGCTGCTGTTCATTTCAGTGGTCAGCCCAATTCTGCTTTAAAAAACTAAAGAAAAACAAAAAAAAAGTCCTCTCCATCTGAAATACACCTCCATTTAAGGCAGTCCCACTCCGCACTGAGGCTCCCAGGTTCCTGTTTCCACCAAGTCACCTGGTCTGGATCTGCTCCTGGCCCGGTGCTACAGAGGAGAGGGTGATGAGTGGAAGGGAGAGTTCAGAAAATGAAGTCTCTCACACCCGCTCAGAGTTGCTGTCCTTGTTCACTCTGCGTCTGGGGAAAAGCTTTCGCTTCAGCAGGATGAGCTGCAGAGAGAAGAAGCAGTGAATTAACACACACACACATATATAAACAAATGGGGGCATAGTGGAATTCAAATAAAAAAATGTTCTCAACTGATTTCTTCTTATTTTAATGTGATACTTTATTTTCATGGCACAACTTCATGAAGACAATCTGAAATATTGCTTCCTATGTTTCAGTGCACAGATAGTCTGAGCCAGCAATTAAACTCTAAGCAAAGCACCCAATATTTTCCCAGATGTTGGATTGTTCCTGTCAATAATCATGTCTTTGACTCCAGGGTTGTTTGTATTCAAACAACAAAAATATTACTCGGCATGAGGATGCAGGATCAATTCAGGTCCCTCAGAGAACTGAGGACACTTTGGATCTCTCTTATCTAGACAACTTGAGACAGCAGGACTGCCCGACTACTCTGCTGCTAAAAAAGACTTCAAATGTCTGTTTGTGTGTTGTGACACAGCGTCTGGAGAAGTGTGACACGTTCCTCAGTGTGAGCAGTGGACTCACAGGCTGCCGTGTGGGAGATGCCTGAAAGGTCATTCCAATTATTAACCTTTGTTGGGTTCGCAGAGCAGCAACTGGAAACTTTTGGATCACTAAAGTGGCTCACAAGGGCTAAATGTCAAACACAGGCTGAGTGGCATTCGTTTAACAACTCCTTTTTTGTTGTTGTTGTTGAATTGCACTCCCAGTAACAACTGGGATCCTTGAAAAGGAAAAATTGCCCAACGACTTTTAGATAAAGCAAGAGTTTCTTTTTTTTTTCTGGCAACAAAGTCCACGTCTAGGTAAATAAAAGTACAGCCTCATTCGACTCAACAGGAACAGGCTGGTCTGGCCTTTCAAAGAGGGCTGCTGTCATTTCTGTGGAGTCAGGCTCTGTCTAAGGTGATCAAACGGATGCGACACATGAGACTGACGCAGCTCAGAGTGGAACCTTGAAGCGAAGGCCTGAACCATAGCTTGAGCGTGAATCATGTAAAATGAGAGATGTGAGAGTGCATGTCCAGAGATGAACTTTTGAAGTGGATACTGACCTGTTCTGCAAAGAAGGAAATGACTGTGAAGACGACCAGAGTCACGAGGACACAGTGGGTCCAGAACTTCAGCTTGTCTCGATACACCCGCCTGGGAAAAGGCACATTATAGTGAATTCAAACTCATTCTTTGTGCTCAGCAACAACATCGGCATTTCCTGGCTGGACAACTTTTGGAGGCGGCACGTTTCAGTGGGGCCACTCAGACGGAGAGCGGGTGGAGCGACGCAACGGTGAAGAAGTATGCGGTATGCAGGGGGCCGCGGGGCAACAGGGTGACAGAGTGACATCACCCAGCACCATCCGCCTGCCACCGCTGATTAAGACAGAAAAAGCAGCGGAAAGGAAGCGGCTCAGCTGTGACACCACCATATACTCTCTTACAGCTAGGGACTAATCTGAGGACTATTTGAAGGCTGGCATTCTCAAGTGGAAGCATCTGAATAAGGATGAGGATAAAGATAAGAATAGACCTGCCAAAGTGGTAACTGCCTCAAATTTAAGATGGCACAACAGTCTATGATGTATTATTAAATTAATCCCATTGAGTTTTTATTGGAAGGAAAAATAAGAGGAACTTTTTTTTTTAAATCATAATTTTGGCCAATATATAGATTTAAAAAAAAGAAACAGTCACACTATGTTTAATGCTATTTGGTTTTTAACCATGATCAAGTCCAAAAACTTAATGGTGGTGTGGTCAAAAAGAAAAAAAAGGCATATTACGAGGATTAAAATTCGTTCTTTCTTTTTTCTTGAACAATTAACCGCAGAAATGTCAAACTCATAGCGACTATAAAGAGAAGGTCAGACTTATTGAAGAGCGCCTGTCCATCCACTGGATCTACAAATGATGCTTTATCAAAATGGGCATATCGCAAAATGTCTAAATCGAACTTCACGCCAGAACATCCGCTAGCTGTGGGGACAGTGTTATTACGTTATTACGCACCAATCCTGGAGCTCCTCCATGTGCAGGAACCTATTGCGGTATTCTCTGGGAAGCTCAAACTGGGATGGCAAAGGGAACATGGACTCATAGAAGTCTCTGAGCACAGCCTTCACCGTGGCAGCATCCTTATGGCTGTGGTCGATGTTATCATTCAGACAGATGAACTTCCTTTGGATAAACACACAAAGACAGCACTGTCACATTATCCAAACCGACCATGTTCAACCCATGGCTGCACAACCTTAAAGGAAGCAACAGAAGGAATGACCCACCTGGGATTCTTCCTGATGTCGTCTAACTGGCCGACCACATGGGACACATTGGTCCGCACCATCTTGAAAGCTATTTCCTCCTCTCCCATTATCTCGAACCTGGAAAACAAAAGTCCCTGTTATCTTAATGCTTTAAAAATAATTTTGGAAACGCGAAAAATGGAATTCAGAAGGTGATGTCTCACTTGTATTTGTTCTGGTCTTTGAAAGCTTTGTGAATCTGTTCTGTGATCGGTTTACAGTTGAGGACGAGGCCTTTTGTGACAGGCGGCTGTGGATTTAAGAAGCCAAATACTGCAATCAGACCTCCTTTAAATCAAATGAACGTTATTTAATGTTGTGCTGGTTCGTTTCCGTGTGTGTCTCACCATGCTGGGGTCATAGTAGGCCTCCTGAGTGGGGCTCACCAGATGGAGCAGGGTTAAGTTGGTGGGCAATGTCTTAGAGCAGTTTATCAGCATCTGCTCCAGACCTGTCAGGTCCTATAAAAAAAAATATATTCTTTTAAAAAGAAAAACATGACCACAACCTATTTTTTCCATGCTGATAAACCGGAGCCGGGACAGACCTGGAGGCTGAGGGGAAGCTCGTGGATTCTTGTGGCGAGAGTGCGAATCTCTCGGTCGGATAAAACCCCCGAGTGGTCGGTGTCGATCTCGTCAAACACGTCCGAGACGTTGAGGTGCTGCTGGGCGCTCATTAGGAAGTAGAAGTATGAAAAGGCAAACTGCATGTCCTCGGGGTGCCGAACGCGGTGGCCGGATGTTTTGTCAAACTCTTCTGGGAATCTGGGGGAACACCGGAGAAGGCAGCTTATGAAAAGATTCCCCTACACAACCATGTCAGCATGCATAAAAAAGGCCCTGCTCGGGGCTCCTACGTGTCCTGCAGCTCCTGCATGATGAGCCGGTCGATCATGTGCGGCATGTGCGCCGGCACTTTGCGGGACGTGAAGCCAAACTGGCCGTTGAGCAGCCTGTTGACGTAACGCAGCGAGTCGGCAAAGGTGTCCCGCAGCTTTCTGGCCGCAGCTGCTCCATCGGCCTCGTATGACAGCGCTCTCTGAAGGCGCTCCTCCTCCTGTCGGATCCACGCAAATAAAAGTCACCCAGCGTGTTAGGAATGATTTACTACAGGTGAAAGGTCCGTTTGTGAGATCGGCTTACCTCAAGTAAGGCTTGGAAATATTTCCTTCTCTCCCATGGCAGGAAGCCCCGGTCGGAGGACACGTAATGCTGCAGCCTCCTCCCGATTGGAGGAGGGTTCGCTGGCTCAGGAATTTCTGCACTCTTTTTTTGGGAAATGCTGCTTAGAAGTTTTGAAGTCAGTGGCCTCTCAATTGCAGCATTGATAGCATATGGCTCACGGGTGACAAAACCTTTGAATTCATCATCAACTTGCACAGGGACGACAGGGGGGTTATTTTGAGCAGTCAAAACTTTTCTGGAGGTTTCTTCTGAGTTTTGGGGAATTATATTTTCAGCTTTCACTGGAGGTTTTCCTTCCAACTGGATTCCTTCCAAGTCTTTATAGGGCTTCCCTTGCATTGGGCCTGGATTGAAATCGGTGTTATACTTCTTCTCAGCCATTGACTTGTAAGGTTTCAGAAGTTCAGCCTTGGTGAGGTTATAACCCTTGAGGGTAATGTCACCAATAAGAAGTTTTTCTTCAAGCTTTTGAAGCTCGCTATGCACATAAGCTGGTAGAAGTGACACGTTTAATGAGGGAACCTCTATGACAACCTGAGGTTTTCCAGGGTGCCTCTTCTGGATCTTGGGTCCTCGCTTGTCCTCAGGAACATCTGAGAAAGGAAAGACTGGCTCCGGGGTTGGGGTGGGCTTGAGCTCTTTTCCTCCATCTTTGCTGGCAGTCTGGGATACATTGGTCTGTGGGGGCTCTCGGGTGTCAACAGCTACACTGAAGCTCATTGTGAACTCCGTGTCATCCTCCTTCTGGAAGGTAACATTGTACTGGATCTGTGTGGCATTGTGGCCCGGGTGGAGCAGCAGGTGGATGGTCTTCCACTTGTTGGCAACGGAGGTGTGGCGCACAACCGGGTTGTCGCTGACGTGGGCCTCAGACACTCTGCGGGCCAGTTTCTCAAAGCTAAAATACGGTCTGATCTCACCCACGGGAAGAGTGTAAAGGCTCTGGGTACTGAGCAGGCTCACATGGTACAGCTCATCAAAGTGCTCTGCAAATGAGATTCAACAATACCACACAAACCATATGACAGGACAAAATCTACAAGACAAAATCTTCAAGCCCGTTTACTCTCTCAGAGTCTATAGGTTCTACAGATTTTGTAATCATAGATCTACATTCTTTCAAATTTAAAGCATCCTCCCATTTTCAACCCTGTAATGCTGCATTAAAGGCATCCCAGAAGTGGAATGCTCGTGTTATTTGCTGAGAGCAAGATTAGCTCCACTCAATATGCTTTTTAAAACAAAGTTCTTTGGCACTAAGCCACAACACAAATGTGTGCATCTATCTCTAACTCACCTTGACCACAGTCGCCCACATCAAAGCCGCAGGACAGGACGTTGCAGGCCTGGTCGCAGAACTTGTCCGCTAGCCAGGAATTGGCACAGCCTTGATTGCAGTACAACGTTCCCCCAAGGCCTCCGAGAACGCCCGCAAACTGCCAGGCCTGTCCACCAGCTCCACCCGCCCCACCTCCGCCGATGCCCACAGGGAACCGGCCGTTGCCCGCCACACCTGTCACACAGACCGGTTCACGCTTTGCCCGCAAACACGCTGATTCATGTAGCGGAGGCAACACTGTCCACCTCCTTACCGAGGCAGTCCCCTCCATCCCAGTCGCAAGCAGAGTTGTTGCAAGCCTTGTCACAATATCCATCCTTGATCCAGGATCCAGGACAGCCCTCTGCGCAGTTGGGAACAGGCCAGGTGAGGTACACCTGCAGGAAAGTCCCAAAATGCAAGATTGAAGGCTACAGATTCAGCTACAGATTTCAGAGTGAAAGGCAATGAGAACTTTTTGCAACGTTGACACACTTTCTGCCCTTTGGAGTGGCTGTAGAAGTCGTCCGGCCACACGTCTTTGCCAAACATGACGTCATCGTTAAGGTAAATAAACCTCTGGGAGAGTCCCGGGATGCGATGGATGTGGGTCTCGATGGCCGGGGAGCTGAAGGTGGGAAGGTGGCTGTCATTCAAGAAGATATCCTGGGAGACAAATAAGAGCAATTTACATCTTTTTAACAACGTAACACGTCTACTTTTTTATATACTTATATACATAATAATGCCTTGAAATTTTTGTTTTTTTTTGTCTAGATTTGTCTTCTACCTGATGCGAGACAACTGTAACTCTGGGATTATCCAGGTTGAGCCAGGAAGGAATCTGCCCGTTAGTGACAATGAAGATGTGGCGCACCCAGGGGGCGTGTTTTTCCACAGAGCGTAGCGAATAGCGGAGCTCTTCGTTGTCTTCGAATCGACTGGCCGATACGTCTTCATCCTGTTTAGACTGCAGGGAAAACAGATGTTTGAAGGCATCCAGTGGACATGATTTACAAAACATTAACCACTCATGCCTCTTAGTACCTGCTGGTGTATTTTAAAATAAAGATATAAATATACTTGATGTAATTATAACTACACATAGTTTGGGTTTGTAAAACCTTTATTCTCCCAAATTCTAATAATTGAAGTGATGCAGTACAGTGATGAAGAGATGTAGAGGACAGTGGAAGAGTTAACCTGTGAGATGGCAGTGAGGTCCCAAAACAAGTAGGCTGGGCTGATGGTCAACTCTTTCCCATCCAAGGTCAGGTTCTTTTTAGCCTGCTGGGTCAGATCTGAGAAATCCTGCGGGCTCTTCAGGTGGAGCAGAGCGATGCTGGCCTCCGAGTACAACTCAAACTAAGGGACACACAAACCGTAGCAAACTTGTTAGAACATGAAAGCTAAAGATCCCCATGCACTGAAAAGCTGAGTTAAACTATTTGTCTTCCAGTTGTATAGTTTTTCTCCTCTTATATGCACTCCCTTATAGGCCTAAAAAACGTCTGTTTTGTCTTATTCAGGAAGAGGTTAGAGCTTTAAAAAGATGTGGTAATATCAGAACACGAAGATTTGATGACTGCTACTCTACTGCCACCGTGAGGTCTAGGGCTCAGAGAAAGGCAGTTTGACACCTATTCCAAAGGTTTCCATCAATCACTTTCTATTTATCTAATAAATCAGAATAGATATAGTTTTACTTCCTTCAGCGGCCTGATGAGATTTTTTCTGCAACAGGAATGCTTTCACAAGCTTATTTACAATACGGGTTTCTAAAGGCCCAGTCCTACAAATCTGCGTCCTCTTGTGACTTCTGTAAATATCATTAAACATCAGCAGAAAACACGTCCACTGTGCTTGTTGTGACCTTTCAGTCATGAGTTAGTCCTTAAATCCTTCAAAGCAGCTCGAGGAAAACAGTGACAGTCTTGTGACTTTTTAACTGCTCATTATCAAACACTGGCTGCGATTTCCTGAACGAATCAGGCAGTTCGGCTTCTCACCTTTCATCTTTAGTGGTCAAGTCAAAGCAGCTGTAATGACCGGCTGGAGGTATGTGTTGGCTGCTGGAGTGAGAATGACCAGGGTGTGTGTGTTTGTGTGTGTTTGTTTGTTTGTTTGGAAAATTCTGTGATGTCATCTTCTCTCTGAGAGATCACATGGAAGGCGCTGAGTCTAATCTTTGCAGAGGTACGTGAGGCATTGCAGGACTTTGTGTGACTGTGTGTGTGTGTGTGTTTAACGTCATTGAGAGAAATACAGTCTTTGCAAGTGTAAGAAATAACATATGACGTTTCCTTTGTTCTTTGAATGTTTTATCAAAGAACAAAAGATCCATACCAGAAGAAATAAGAACTGTGACTATTCTGATCAAATAACATAATCATTCTGATATATATTGACTGTGTCTAACTCACATTATCAGACATCATGAACTGTGAGCCACATTTCCTTTGTAGAGTTACATGTGCTTGTGGAATTAACTCTTCTGATAGACTTATTCTTATAGTCTCTGAGCACTTTTCCACCCCGGCTCCTGTGTTTAGGTCAGCAGGTGTAGTCGGGACTTATGAACTCAACAGGGAGGTGATGAACCGCGGATCATGTTGCTGTCGTTATTTCAGCTGTCTTTACAGTCCTGATAATGCTCCAACACAGGAATACAAAGCAGAAGTGTGCATGTACGCGTGTGGACCCGCATTCCCGTCTAATAGTGTGTGTGTCAAGTGTTGATTTAATACACACAAACACGCATGCAAGTTACTGCCTTGAGGATTGTAAATTATTAGCTGATGATTAAACGTCGGGCTGATAAGTGAAGCTATGATTTACGATTCAAGCGCAGGTTTCAGTCACCTTAATGCCATTTTGAGGACCAAATAAACTGAGTGTTTTTTACATGATAAATCAGATGTCTCCAAAACACCAACCTCTGGGCATGAGTGGGCCTGCTGTAGAATTTGGCAGTGCACCAAAAAAGTCACAATAAAACTTTTCAGGTGCATTTTATTAAATAGTAATCACTCCTACATCCTCTAATCCTGTTATTCTATCGTACTGTGTTAAGGTAAATCAAATGAGTTCCTTCTTCATTAATTACACAGAATTGTGTTGCCTCACTCAGCTGTTACGTGAAGAAAAACCCTCAAGACAGGCGTCTGATTCTGATGCATGTATCAGTTTAAAGTGAGCAGGATGGAAAAAGTCAAAACGAAAGTCTGGAGTACTCCTGCTTTAAAAGCTGATAAGAATGCTTGGCTTTCTCAGATCTGACTCAGATCTGCTTGTCTAAATAATTTAGCAAAGCATGGGGGCTGTTGCAAAAGCTCCTGTCAACATTGGCCAACACAAACAGTTGAACTAAGTACGGCAGCAGTGATTTACAACACTCCACCTGTCACCAGAATGCTTCTTTAGCCAACAGAGAATTCCCCTAGATGAGGACAAATCTCCTTCTCCAACCTGAGCTCTGAGAGAAAACGGCCCTTTTAATAAAAATAAAAAAAAGACATTAAACAGCATTGATAAAAAAAACAGTGGTTGGTTTAACTGGAGGAGCTTGGCTTTGTACTAAAGTTAAGTTAAAAGAGAAAAGGCTGCATGTTTCATCAACTCATCCCCCGGGGGGCAGCTAAAGGTATTCCTCACCACAGCACTAACACGCCCCCTGTGCATTGTCCTCTCAGCACATTAAACCACGGTCACTGTGGCTCATGTGTTGCTGCCAGGTCTAGAGAAAATCAACTTGGACTAGAAAAAACTGTTTGCAGACTGTGGGTAAACTAATTAACGCCGCCCTGAGTGATGTTTTCAGGCAGCTGTAGTCGGATTCTTGAGCAAAAGGCTAGACACTAACTAAAGCTGCCCCCTCCTGCATCACTTGCTGAAACTGAAGCTCAGTGGGTGGTTTTCTTTTGTTAAACCTAATTGAAAAAATATCAATGCAATGGGAAAACTTCAATTCCTTCTTAGGAAAAGGATCACTCTTGACATAATTATTCACATCTGATGAAATTACACTTTACTTTGACTTTAGACAAAGCAGGGATTTGAACACACTGGGATGTGATTCACTCATTTCCCCACCAGTCATGTCTCCACAACCAGCAGCTTACACCTTATCACATTAGACTTTCAACCTGAGAGTGATGCAGTTATGTACAGATGCACAACTCAAAGTCAGTGTGAAGGCCTCAAAAGAGTGGAGCGAACACAAAAAGGAGATACTCCAGATAAGCTGTGACTATTTGAAATGATTAACCAGGACAAAGTAATTCCCAACTTTATTCTTTATTTTACGCTAAGTGGTCAGATCGTATTCTCAAAGTCAGTTTTGAAATTCATTCAAACCATTCAGTTAAAACAAAGGTTTGCACTCAACCATGTCCCAGAGTCCTCTGACAAAATCCCCACGTGCACTTGTTTCCTTGGGATTCTCTGTCTTTTTTTTTTGTTCTACACTTTTACTGCATAATCTTGCTGCCCACAAAAAGCATTCCAACACTCAACAAACACACCCCAGCGGGCCTGTGCACAGGCCAGGCAGGGGGCAGGACTCGGCGGGGGGCAGCACGGGCAGAAGATCAGAGTTGTAGTCCAGCTTTCATCACCATATCATTTGGTGCAACATCAGCTATAAATACCGGCCCCCTCCCACCACTGAGCCTCTCCCTCCACACTATGCACATCATCCCTCTTTCACAGAAGCGGCGAGTGACACCAGGAAACACCCTGAAATCCAAATGGGGCATTGTTCGAGGCTCGTGTACTCAGAATCACTCCAGATCTAAACGGCAAACACACCAGCGCACACTTTCCACCGTCCTGGCTGCACTCCAAACATCTTTCATTTCGCACCTGAGCTGACCCCCCGGCCCCTTTTTTGTTTGTTTTTTTTAACAGCTTGTTCAACTGATAAGATATCAGGTGACAGACAGGTAAGACAGGGTGTGTCTCCGAGTTCGGCGAGGGGCGGTGAAAGCCCGATGACCTTTCAGCGCGCTGGCTGGTGCCGCGCCACTCTAAATAGTCCTTCTAATGTAACCCCCCTCACCAGAAGGTAGGGGTTACAGCCCAAATAGTGACGGTTATTATCACATGACCTGCAAGGCTGCAGTACACATGGAGATCAGCTCAGAGAATGATGGGAAGACTCTGCTTGACGGTAACACGAGGGTTAAGTGTTAATGAGACCGTTGGATGTCAACGTACTACGAATGTGGCACATATCAACATACATTCAGCCCATTACATGTTTACTTTTAAGTGTACCATTTCCTTTTTTTAACCCTGTCTGGAAATCAGATGGAGACATCTGAAATAAAATTCAAACTTTTTCAGAAACGCCTCAGTTTTCTAATGTAAATTAGGATCCCTCTGGATACATGTAGTTTTAGACGGCGAAATCTGTGTTAAAGGATTCATGGCCGGTGTGTAATGTCTGAAAATCTAACAAAATCACCTAAATGTGCAAGAACCAGCGCCTTTTAGTGTCAACTGAATGACACACATATGAAAAAGGGCTCATGGAATTTTTAATTTCTACATGGAAAAAGAAATACAAAGAAAGAGAAAAGAAAAGTTAAATAATGAACATAGAAAACTATTTTGTTTGTGTAAAGAATCAGGGAATCACTGGTTAATCATTCAGTCAGACTTGGTAATCTTTAAGTGGCTGACTGTTTCACTTTGAAAACAGTGATAAAAGGTAAACACTACAGCCAATAGTAATTCCATTTGAATGGAGTGCAGAGGCAGTTAAAAAAGATGTTATCTAACTGGGCACCCATTCGCTCTGAGCAGCCATGTGAGAGCATTATCAGAAGACGGGACAAGCAGTTTTCTCATGCACGTCCTGCCCGCCACTCGGCTCCAGGCCGCCGTTGTTTTCTTTGATAACTGCAGCATCCACACTCGTTAGCAGCATTCCTCCCTCTCAGAACATAAAGCAGAGCTCTGATTAGGGGAAATTATTAGATACACAAACTGCCGTGCCAAACAGAGGCCTTTTATCCTCAGAGCATCACAACTGTTTAAAATAGATGAGGGCCATTTATAACCCATCGGTGCGGTCTCCTCAAGGAGCAGCTGAGGCTTCTTAGAATCCATCTACCGTACAATTAGACCAAAATCTAGAGTGAAACTCCAGCTAAATGATGGAATAATGTTCTGATGTACACAACTGCCTCAGTGCTCAAACTGGACTTCTAAAATGGGTCATGCGGTGGCAAATCAGTGGTTTAAAAAAAGTAAATAAATAAATATCTAAACCGTCTGCATCATGGAAGGGTTTCCTCAAAAAGCCAGACTACGGCATTTGGATCCATAGAGCAACTCTGCCACCTGCTGTTGTACAAATAACACCTCTTTTTCTCCACTCAGGTTACTCTGGGAAGACTGGTGCATTTGGAATACAGTTTTAATGTTTAGAATACTGTCAAATGTGGGGCTGAGTCGTGTTTGCGTGGGACAGTTGTCTGGTTTTACCTGTTTGATCTTGCTGGTTACGGCCGCGGGCAGTTTAACTCGCAGCTGCTCCGTCTCCTTGAAGGACGGCGGGAAGCCGCTCAGATAAGCCAGGGACTGCATGCGGATCAGACCTGGAGCCTCTTTATCTGTCGTCTGCAGGACACAAACACAAACACACACAGTATAAAGCCCCGCTTTGATGTTTGATCACCTCCATTCTGAGAGCACGAGCACCAATGAGATCGACATCACTTTCAAGCTCAAACAGAAGTGAGAATAAGGGAACGCTTACCAGGTAACATCTGGACACGGACAATTTACGGGCTTGTCTGGACGTGTCGGTATACGCTTTATCAGCTGAAAAAATAAACAAATAAATAAAGGCTCATTTAGATAAAGCTTTAGGGATGAATTAAAAGTTCATAAGAACCAAAAACAGGGCACAGATCCTGAAGAATAAGTAGACCATTTACATCAAAGCATGCTCTAGAAAGCTACTGAAAAAAGGCTCTGGACCTCCCACATTATATTCTAAGGAAGCCTTCTTAAAACTGATATGGGCCTGCATCAAATTGTCCCAAAAGACAATTTGGACAGTCTCCATAATCATATCTCCTTTGTAGCTCCACAGTTTCACGTTTTCTTATCTATTCAAACAAAAAGATAAAATGTGAATAGAAGTCTCTGCTAATGCTGAGTCACTGAATTGCTTGTGAGGTTCCTGGTCATTCAAGTGGTCAGCGAGTGTGTGCGTGTGTGTGTGTGTGTGTGTGTGAAGCAAAGAAACTAAACGGTGCTCGCCCGTGTGAGAGTTAAGAAGAGTGTGATTCTGTATGAGTTTTACCATCAGCCTGCGAGTGGAAGACAACCACAGAAACAGTGGTGGGCGGGTGGAAGGGCTTGCTCATGTACAGCAGCTCTTTAGCGGCAGAGAAGGAGGGGCAGAACGTCGGCAGCTCTTTCAGAGTAACGTTGGCTGGCAGAGCCGGGTCAAGCGCCAGCATCGGTGCTATAATGCAGTGGGACAGCAGGCATTCAGGCTTGACACTGCAACAAATGAGGAGGAGGAGGAGGAGGAAAAATACCACTTTAATCAACACAAGTGCACCGCTAAGAGGTTCCTTTGCAATGTTTAAAATAGACCAGCCTGAAATGACTCAAGTTCACACATTCTGCAGCTTGTGCATCTGTGGTTAAAATATGACAAAGCAGAGGTGGGGGGGGGCCAAGAGAGGGCAGGGCGGGTGTTTGTCAGAAACACAGGGAAAAAAAATAATATAGATCATATATCAGCATGCTGATATCACTAATTAAACATACAAACTGAACAATGTGGAGTTATCTTATTTGCACTATAACCAAATTAATTCCCTCTGAATCTTGGCTAACATTTTAAATCCATGGGAATATTATCTAACCAAAAAAAACAACAACTGGAACCAAAGTAATCAGAATGCTTTTTGTTTTCTTAAACTAACTTAAAAACCAGGAACTGTTATTTTCTTCAGATTTACAACACCACTCTCCATCCATTCACCCTATCACTGCTGGAACCAACCCTGGCTGTGAGGTCGAGAGGTGGAATACACCCTGGACAGTCCATCAGGGGGCCACAATGAGACGAACCACGCACACACACACACACACACATACACACTCCTAAATACAACTGAAAGCCAACAATCAACCTAGCATGCATTCTTTGGGATGGTGGGAGGAAGCTGCATCACCCAGGGAGAACCCACAAATGCACACAGGGAGAACATAAAAAACTCTCCCACCCCCATCTTCCTGTTAAATGCAGACTTAAGGCAGTACCGCTTTCTTCCTTGTACTTCTACCAGCCTTTTAAAAGAGTTCAACAATATCTGCTCTGCTGTGGCTGCTACCCTTAAAGGTATTACAAACTGCCGGGATCTGTTTTCAGATCTTTTTTGGTCATTTATTTAACAATATTTGACCAACATATGTCAGATCATCTGACCCCTCTGAACACTGTGAGCTGCACATAGGAAAAACACTTTAAAGCTCACAACACCAAGCACCCACCTGTCTTTTGGCACTTCAGTGGTATCAGTTGCGTTTTTCTCCAGGCGTTCTCTGTGTGCGAGAAAAAGTGTTGGAACTCTGGAGTATTTAGACGGACAAGACCCATTTGAGTGACCAGACCCAGGATATGCGCCAAACACATTTACAGGTATTCTGCAAGTACATTTTTTATCTGCCCCACAGTCATTTTCATTTTGTGTGCGTCATGTAAATCTGTTTCATGTAAAAATGATAACATCATTGATTCTGTTTCCGTTTAGATGGAAAACTGAATTTTTTTTTCGCACTGTACAACTAAGGCTGTGAAAAAACAATAGAGGATTTTAAGCGTCCTGCTACCAATCAGGCTCTTAAGCATTGGTGCTGGCTACCTCAGAGCTCTTTGTTCTTCTTGCAGTTGCTCTTTGACAGCCTTCAGTTCCTTCAGCAGAGCCACGTCTGTGCCATTCACCCATGTGTACACCACATCGATAGGCATGGGGAGACAGAGCCTGCAAAGAAACTCATATCAGCGAGGACGGTGCTCAGACTGCAAATCTGTGACCCTGTTTTCCTCCCCAGTGCACACTTAAGACATGTCAGAATTCATATTTGTTCATGCATGGATATACCTTCACATCAAGTTATTTTAAATTTTGTGGGAGCAACTAAGACAGTTATGCCTAACCCCTTTTCACGTTTTTTTTTTTTCAGAAGGTGGATGAAGACTTTGCACATATAAAAATGTTTAATATTTTAATCCCAATCGAGAAGAATTTCTCCATGTTTTTTTAAAATGGATTGATCTCTTCCCAACCACTGCCTCCCAGGGCCAACAGTAGTACATGTCCTCTCTAAAATGAATGGATCAGCTCTTCAGCTCCTCAGGCTCTGCAGAGCACTGATGAAGACATTGAAACAGGCGTGCTGGAGCTAGAAAACTTGGAAAACATGCAGCACTGTTGGCCTTGAGGAGTTAGGGAACACTACTGACTTACTTTCGTTGACACATTCGTAGCTCACCTGCTTTGGAATGATTTCCCACCAACATTGTCTCTGTAGGAGTCAAACAGCACATGATATTGATCCCGGCTCCACTCCACCACCACCTGAATGGAAAACAGGATATGCCATGTGGTTCTCTCTTTTTTACATCCCAAATTTCTGAGGAATCTAGAACTGTTGTGACACATGTCAAGAAACAGGGGAGGGAAGGTCTACGACAATAAATCATGTATTTAACTAAATTCGCAAATGTAACACATCAACACGAATTTTCCTAAAGACCCAAAAGACTCCTAATGCGCTTTGATATATATGTAAAGAAATCACTAGTTTCCTTTTCAAATAAAATCCCTCAAACAGATGTTTTTTCAAATGAAGTCCGGTTAAAGTATCTGAGCCCAACACGCTTCACTGAAAGCAGCTGTTTTTAGAAAGTAGGTAAAGCTAAATCTAAATAACTACAAAGTATACAGGGAAGAAAAAAACAAAAACCTGACCTCTCCAAATTGAAATGCGGAAACAATCATGAGCACGAGCCCCCCGAAGCAGAGGTAGAGTCCATATCGGTGGGACAGACAGGTGTACGTCTGCCTCTGCAACAGCTTCAGCACCGAGTTCACGACTACCATGATTCTTTTGGTCGAAGCATAGCCATGCATTCATTCAAAGGAATAAAGAATCGCAGGTAAAAACGCTACAGAAAGAAAGTAAACATCACAAGCAGAACTGGTTTGTCAGCTGACCGCCAGCCAAACAGCATGACACATGATGACAGCCACATCTCGCGCTTCTTCGGCGGAGGTGACGCAGATTCCGCCGCATGGGATTTCTGGCTCCAACTCAACGTCGCCCCCTAACGGCGAGGAGCAGAGCTCACGATGCATTCAGGTACCCTGATAAAAGTCAAAATAACAAGACCCGTTTCTATAACTTAGCAAATATTTGTTTTTGAGGGGTTCTGTTTATAAATAAAAGTGCAAAAAACCCTAAGGTAAGGTTACGCTTTTGGGATGCTTCAAAGTGACATGTGCAGCAGCAGTTGCACATGCAGGATTTGATGGAGATTTAGTTTTCTTCTTTTCAGTCCAGTTTGTCTAAGCCAATGAGATAACGTTTTCCATACTAGTACTCCATTTTTTACGTTTTAATTTGGTGATTCTTTTTCCATCTCTTCACATATTCAATTTTCTTCTGGAGTTTTATACTATTCATAAGTGCATGTTCAGCAACCTCTTCTTGCTGACAAGCATGGGTTCACATGAAGAGTGGGCCGCATCAGGGCCAAACCACATGAACTGGGATCTTTTTAAAATGACATATTACTCCAAATCCCAGTTATTGTTGGAACAGAGTGGTCTGCACTTGTACTGATTATACATGAAAGAAATGTCTTGTTCTTATGCCCATTTCTAATCAACAATTGTCATCTGTCATGGCTATCTCTACCTCCCTATCCATTGTAGTGTCTGAAGGCTACAGAAGGGTAAAGACTGCCTACAAAAAAGTATAGACTGTATGCTTCTGGGACTACACCATGCTGGGCTTGGTGTCTGTACCTGTTGGGTTCATATCTTTATTACTCATTTCCCTATGTGTTGAGCCACACAATGCCCAAGCAAAGCTCAACATTTAAGACATAAGGATTTATGACTTTGCATTAATGCACTCTATTTTTTACATGTCCATTACATGTCTTATAGTTCCTCCCTCATTTAATATTTACTGCTTGTGGTACAGAAACGTTGCTTCTTTGTTGGAGAGTCCTGGAGTTGCAGGTGTCTGCCAGCAGTCTGCAGACTTTCATATCATTCTGAAAATGTTGGTGCATCGTGGAAAAAAAGTTAGGGCCCATGCTCACAATAGGAGAGCAGCTCAGTCTGAGATAAAGCACCTTCCTCTCTGAGTCACTGTAAAGTTAAAGGGAAAGCATCTCAGAAAAACTTTGATTTTGTCTCTCTGGTAACCTATTGGAGAAAAGGGAGGTTGCACTCTTCCTGGCAGCCAACAACATTCTGCCTTGCTGAATGAGGAGTCCCCCTGATTAACAGGCTGGACAAAAAAATGACCTTTTCAACCAACAATTTCTTAAGAACACTGCCAAGTCTGGGATGGGCAAGTTCCAATAAACTCCACCAACATGGAGAGCTCTGAAATGACTCAGCTCTGCCCTGCTGTGCAGCAGCTCTGCAGGCGAGAGCTGCCAACCTCAGCACGTGAATGCAGCAGATATTCTAGGTCCACAGCGTGCACCTTTGCCTCAGTCAAATATTCCGATCACACCTTAAAAATGTTTATTGGATTTTGCTCTAAACATAAGCAAAATAACAAAAAATAATATCTACATAGAGCACATTGAGATTAGTTAACAACAGGTTTATCATTCTATCTATCTATCTATCTATCTATCTATCTATCTATCTATCTATC